ATAAAAACCTCCAAAAACCTCTTCTGATCAGTAACCCCCATCTATTTTACCAACAAACAACATCAAACAAGGGTTTTCATCTTCAAAACCTAATTTCGGGCCGCAGCTGATATCCTCAAATTGGGGGGTATTTTGGCTTGTTTGTCTGTCAAATTTTACACCATTTTCATCCTCCATTATCAATCTACACATTTGAGGTAACAATTTGCTCTTACCAACAACATTTTATAATTTATTACATTGCAAATTTTATAGTTTTTGGGAATATTATGATAAATGCATGTTTGCTGGGATTTCTTGATATAATTGTGCCACATTGTGCTTAAAGAGATTGTTACAGCTATTTTCATGCTTATTTTTTTCAAAACTATGGTTTTGATGATATTTTTAAGAGTTTTTCTAAATTTTTGGGCATGAGCATTTTATTTATTTAGACTTGTGAATGTTGGTTTTAATTGAATGAATGAATTTGATGCTGAATGAATGAAGCACGACATTATATTATGTGCGAAGTAGGAATTGTGAATCAATGAATTATGATTATATTATGAAACAATTATGAATTGTGAATGAATGAATTATGATTATATTGGCATATACATTCTGCAAATGATGGTTAAGATTGAAAAGATTGATTTGTTTGATGACGCTTTTACTTGAAAATATGCAATTGAGCTTGCTAAGATTTTATTTCAGATAGGTACTTCATCTTTTCTAGCTAGAATTTTGGTCGCCTTGGCTTTGATGGCAAAATCTTGGAGCAGTTGCTCTTCAACTGTACAGTTATGATTTTGATCAAAAGACTCCACGCATGCCTTTTGGGATTAGGATTTCAGATTCTAAGTCTCATATGCCTTTCTGGGCCATTCGGCTTGTTGTCTATCTAGCATTTGTCCAGAAGTTGACCTTGGTAACAAAGATTGATTCTTGTACCAAATATTGAAGATTTCAGAAGAAGTAAAACGTGGGGAGGGAAAGGGCAGTGGAAACACTCATTTCGTTGCAATCCTGGTTTATTGACCGGTTCAAGGATCTCCTAACTCTTTGTATTCAATTCAGACATTATTCAGATAGGAGTACCATAGAATAGTAGAATGGTATTGTTATATATGCCAAATGCAGTTTCTGAATATATATCCCTTTAGAAATGTGTTATCATTCGAGAATTTTTCTGCTCTCAATTTACGCATTTCAAAACCAGGTAAAAATTTCTGCCTGCAAAATTTTATCAAGTTGAACATGAAACTATCTCAGCATATAAAAATGCATCCATTATATGGTGTAACTTAGAACTGCGAGGTATAGTATTATTATATGAGAACCCTAATTCAATTTGTTTGTGTTTTTACTTGATGTATTCTGTTAACCAAGAGCTTCAGTAGTCTATGTACGATATTTGGTTGTGTTTTTTTGGCACATGTTGGCAGGGAGTTTAGCCCTTTTACAAGGGGAAACTCTGCAGAAATTTTGTAAAATTCTTATATAACAAGTGTGAGCAAGTTTATCCATTTTCTAATGAACATCTTTGCTTTTTGGTATAGGTATTATGGCTCGCACAAGGAGGGCTCGCATTCGTACTCCTACTCCTTCCTCAAGTGAGGAACACACACCCTCTATGCACGAGGAGTCACCTGAGCAAGAATCTTCCTCACCTGAGTCGCCACCTCGTTCTCGCCGGAAGACCGCATCTACTAGCCGTGACGAGCCACCGCCAGACTACGATACCACACGATTCACATCGCTCGAAAACCAAGAGTGGTATGAAGCCGGACTGGACAAGGAGATCATCATTGAGAAACACTTGGCACCGGAGGTGGACGCGCACTATCACATTTCTACAGCATTCAAGAGACTTGGATGGGAGAACATCCTTCGGTTGCCCAAGCACTACTACCCCAACCTAGTCCGGGAGTTCTATGCTAATGTAGAAAACAAGGAGAGCCACAGTGGCAACCTCATTGTGTCACGGGTTAGAGGCAAGAGAGTGGCTCTCAATCGAGATGCACTGAGACGCTTCGTCGAACTCAAAGACGAAGGCGACGACGTCAAATTGACCAAGGAATTCAAAGCTAGAGATCCTTGGCAAGTGGGAGAGGCTGTGGGACGTCTAAAGGGGCAGTACCGTGAGCGAGGAAGTTCGAAAAAACTCACGGTATATGCCGACTCCTTCGATCATCGGTTCCACCTGATCTTCTATCTTTTTGCCTTTAATGTGGTGCCGAAAAAGAGTGGCAAACGGGAGATCCGAAATAGCGATCTCTATTTTTTGGATAAGATGATACATGGAGTGGGTAGGCAGTTGACCGGAATTCCTCTACCCAGCATTATCATCAGTTATATGCGGACCACAGCTCGCATGAGGCCCGGCGACACTTGTTTCGGATTTCCTCGACTGCTATCACTTGTTTTTGAGAAGCTCAAGATTCCTCTTGGAACCGAGAGAGCGGTTATAACTAGGTCGGCCGAGGAGGTGAATGCTACGATACTCAAATCCTTGGGTATTTCTACGGATTTTGGAGCTGCTTTGGTCCGGGACACAGGAGAGGCATCGACTTCCACTCAGCCTTCGCCTCGTACTGAACCACAAGCGGAAACTCAAGGGACGGAGGCACAACAGACTCTTCATCCTCCGATTCCGCGACTACCTCCTCAACCGCGCTCCAAGTGGCAAGAGCTCCTAAATGCCATTTGTTGTATGGAGACGCGAGTTGTCGAGCGCATTGACCAGACGGAGCGGATGATGACCGAGCGACTCGACCGACATGATCGCCGTCTTCGTGCGATCGAGGATCATTTCCATATCCGCCGGTCCCCTACTCCTACACCTCATCAAGAGGAGGGCCATATTGGTACCTCACAGAGTCCTCATGGAGCCGAGCAGGCAGTAGACCCTCGTTCCCAGCAGCCATGATGCTCTTTAGCGGATTGGATCTTTTATTTCTTTATTTTTCTTTTCTTTTGTTAAGACAAACTTTGTAGATTTTATTTTTCTTTTACTTCAATCATCTTGTGCTACTTATGGTGTTTGGTTAAAGTTTAATTCTTATTTGGCTTGGAATGAATTATTATGCTATTAGGATTTTTACATTTTAGAAAGTATATTTGGTTAAATAAGAAAAATTATGCTTACAATTTTGCAAGATTAATGATATTTATCTAGTTTTACATGAGATTTTCCTATAAGTGACTGATATAGTCAAAGACAAGGCCAAATCCTTCCTTTAATTATACTTAGAATTCCCAAGCATACGTAAAATGTTGCATTTTCAGTATATTCACGTGACTTTTATTAATAACATGTTTATACATGCTCATGGACTCATTTGCTGTGCATGTAATGGTCAAAAGTGCCATTTTTGTGTAAAAATGCAAAAATGATCAAAGAATCTCACCCTTCGATTTACAATGTAGATGTGTTTGATGTGTTTTAAGAGATTGGATATTGTACTTTTGGTATATTACATGTGCGTGGGAGGTTAAATTTCATAAAACGTTTTTCCAACGCATGTTTTGGAATTGGCCGGAAAAGAGAGAAAAAGTTTAAAAAATTGCAGTTTCTGCAATTAGTGCAGAGAACTACAGATCCGAGCTCGGATCCTAATTGCCCAGACGGATCCGACGGCGTATCCTTTGATCCGAGCTCGGATCCAAAAAATCTTCATAAATATTCGACGGCTCGTCTGTGCTTCCGGTGCTGCGGATCCGAACCATGCCGGATCCGCACCCTTTCAGTTTCGAACCGAGCTCGGATCGTTTCACGGATATAGGAGAACCGAAGCCTCGTTTCTGCACTTTTCACAATTTTCTTCCCTCTTTTCACCGAACCCTAACCCTCTCTCTATAATCTTCCTTTCCATCCGTTCACTCCCTAATCTTTCTAAAATTACAATTGAAATTGTAACAGATATTAATGACTATTAACTATTAGATTCTTATAACTAATATTCACTGGTGTCAACAAATAAATACGATTCATTAATAACAAAGGAAAATTAGAATTTGATTAAAAAAATTTATTTTATAGAAAAGGGAAAAAAGTTAGTATTTTATTCATAAATTACAGTCAACACCTTACATGTTAACAATTTCATTCTATTTTTACATTGTTATATGAAATACAGAGAACTATGCATGTGTACTTTTTCTGCCATTTAAATGTATTATAATAAAATAATGTATTTCCAACCGTAAAAAATGCTCCAACTTTTTTTAAATGAAAATGGTCAAGGCATCATTTTAATTAGAGCAAATAATCACAGGAAATGAAAATAAATATGAAATTCAATCAATCAAGGCATTTAATTGAAAGTAAACAACCCATGTTTAACAAATTAAAAGAAATTGGGACCCAATGGAAAGAATTAAAGAAGTTTGAGGGGTTAAATCATTATTATTACAAAAATTAAAGGTTTAAACAAAATTAAGGGCTTAAGATGAAACCCACCAAAACTAAATGAAAAAATTCACAAAAAAAGAATGAAAACCCATTTTCTACAATTAAACGACAAAAATTTCCATTTTTCCACTGAAGTTCATAGATCAAAATTATAAGTCTAGAAAAAGTTATTAAACCTTCAAATTCATCCTAAAACTCATTCAAAATCTATCCAAAAATACATTAAGATATATTGAAGAAAAATGGCTTGTTAAGGAGACAAAATTGATTAAGTTATACAATTAGTTGAGCCATAGTAACATTAGTAAAAAAAATAGGGGTTAAAGTGCAAATTTGGAAAAAATCCCATGCATGAGCTTCGGAGAAGCATTTCTCTCATTTTTGGTGTCCTTTCCTCTACAACATGCTGCGTTCCATTACCAACCGAATACATGAGGAATAAAGATGTACTTTTGGGAGAGCTCGCATTCGCAGAATGCGAGCTCAATAAGTTAAGCTCGCATTCGTGGAATGCGAGCTCTATGACCTCCGAAAAAAAAAATAAAAAAATTCTTCTGACCTCGCATTTCAGGAATGCGAGCTTATCAGAGCTCGCATTCCTGAAATGCGAAGACCCCCCTACGGAATACATAACCCAAATCGCCCCTTTTGTAGAATTTTTTTAAATTTCATCACAAGCTTAGAAATTTCTCCAGGTCAACATTTAGAAATTGCTATAATTGACGAAGCATTGGTTAAGGTGAGGAACATACTTGGAATTTGGACTGCTTCTGGAGAAATACTAAGTCTTCATGGTGGTGCAGAATTTATTTGGAAGGGACAAGGGGTAGTTGGAAAAGCATTCTCATCCAAAAGTGCATGCTTTTGTAGGGATATAAGACAATTAAGCATAACAGAGTACCCGTTGGTACCCATTACACGACGCTTTAAGTACCCTGCCTGTTTTGCAGTTTGTTTGCAGAGCTCTTGCCCGAACAAGTGCATTTACGTACTGGAGTTCTTTTTACCTATGAATGAAAAACCCGATGGGGATCTTGGGACATTGTTGAACGAGCTAATGGAAACATTGAAAGAAAGTCTCCAGAGTTCTTTTAAGATCGCTTCAGGACAAGAATTGGGGCAGAAATTGACTGTTGAGGTTATAAAGGTCTCTCCAGAGGATGAATTTGATTCTTTTGAAATCTGCAGTGCTACTAGTATCGAATCTACACCTAGGCTTGGAGAAGTACAAGGAGCAGAAGGAATGATGCAACTTGATCTCTCATGTCAACAAGTTGATGCTGCAAATGGTTCTATGAATGGTATCCATGAACAGCAGAATGGAAGTGTTGGATCTACACCTCGGCTTGCAAAAGGAATGATGCCTGTTTATTTCTCATCTCAGCTAGTTGATAATGCAAATGCTTGTATAAATGGTGTCCATGCACAGCAGGGTGGGATTGTTGGATCTCCACTTAGACTAGAGCATGTGCAGGGCTTTGTCAACATATCATATCAAGAATTAAATCTTGCAGGAATTGATGTTGCGCACAATTCTATGAATGGTATTTATGAAAAGAGAAATGGAGTTGTTAGATCTTCAACACAGGAGGTTGTGCAAAACATGGTCAGCATAGCACATGATGAACCAATTGTGGAAGATCCTCAAAGAGATGGTGCTAGAATAGAACAGAGGGACAATGAAGTGACTAATTTAAAAATGCAAAAGCCTAGATGTACTTTAAAAAGTGACCTTGGAATTACTCGTGAGGTTCTTGAACAAAATTCTACGAGGAGACTTGGAGATGCTGCAAAAAATATTGGAGGTAATCCTTAACTATAGCACTTCTCTAGATCAGAATTGAATTCAAATGTTGCTTAATCCATTGTGATTTGATCTGGATCTGTTTGGAAAGATCTAGTTTACATGTTGTAAAGGCTTTTTCCTTAACTGACGTTTTCCTTTCTGAAATCTACAGTTAGTCAATCTACATTGAAACGCATATGTAGGGAATATGATATTCACAGATGGCCCCCTCGTAAAGCAGGGAAGGATACTCATGAACACCACCAATCAGGTGCAACAAGGCTAGAAGATGACAATGGCATGTGGGTGAAGGCAGAATATCAAGGGTGCATGATAAAGTTCAGACTTCCATTTTCTGCCCGTAAAATCGATTTGGAGGAGAAGGTAGCACAGCGACTGAATCTAGCCATGGGAAGTTTTAAAATTGAGTATCAGGATGAAGATAACGATTGGATATGGATAACATGTGATGAAGATCTGAGAACGTTTATGAGCACATTAAGTTCACTAGGTAGGACTACAATCAAAATGGTGGTCAAATTGATCGAACATTTATGAAACTTTGCATAATAAATTTGTTTCTGAGTATCAAATTTGCTAGTTTATGCCAGTACTAGTGTCTACTCCATCTTCGAAAAATGTGACATGATATGTATTCTAATTGCGTTGATCTTTGATAGAATTAGTGAAAAATCTTGGTGGAAATGCAGGTCTTCTATGTAAATCCCAACATTGGGTATTGCCATTCACTCTTTTCAGTTGCAGTCTATAAGGTTATGGCAAGTTAAAGATTTTTGGGAATGTTAGGGAGTAATTTAAAGAAAAATATTCCTCATGTGTACAAGTATATATAAAAACTAGAAAGTTGTTTTTCTATAGAGCTAAAACATTAATTTTCCTTTTTTTTTTTGTAAATTGAATTGTCAAGGCTAAATGCAAAGTATGCCAATAACCAAGGAAATTGAGAAGAAATTATATATAAAAAATCGTTTGTGACTTGTGAGTAGCCGATGATAAATGTAGACCTTAATAGATTAACATACAAATATTTGCATTAAAAGTTGTGTTTTGTACGTTGTTGTTTTGGTATTTACGTTTTTTATATTAATTTATATATTTTATTATTATCTGTAGTATATATAAAGGAGGAGAGTCCCACCAAGAGAAAAAAATGGGAGGAAGGGGATTTTGAAATAAACATATTGTTGTCGCTTTATGTTCTTTTTAAACTATCCTTGATAACTACCCAATATCTCCTTTAACTACCAAGTAGCAACTAACAATTATATTTTCGGATTACTTCTAATTAACTATCTATTTATAAACTTTATTTTGATGAACTTTCTACTATCTAGTGTCAAAAATATAAAACTAATTCATCCGAAAATGATTTCGACAAATATACCCAAATTTTTAATAATATTTTTCTATTAGTTACATGCATATTGGTGTATATCTTGAACACTAATATGTATTATTTTAGTGCTTACATCTATCCTGTTAATCTTTTTTCTTTTTTTTTTGAATGATCTGTCCTGTTAATCTAGATATCATTGCAAGTACGGGGACAATAGAACAGGTAATGGACGCTATTAGACAATTGTTCTAGATAAAAATACCTGTTCTATATATATCTTTTGTTTCTGGTTCAATTTATTGCATCTTAAAATTGATAACCACATGTAATTGCTCAACACGCTATTGAGCTCTTTTTAAGGTCTACGGTGGCTTTTGGCTGAAGCACAGAAGATTGTTTGACCCAGTGGTCGAATCAAGAAAACATTCCATACAAACGAAAATAAATAAATAAACAAGCTAAGTGGCATATATATTTAGGGAAGTCTTGAATTCTAATCCTCTTGTTTATTCCTTATTTTTCAAATGTCATCCTTACACCATTACAAAAAATAAATAAATAAATACAAGGTTTTTACCTTGGGAGTCAATGAATTTCAAAACAAAAATTGAAAAAGCAGCAAGCTCATAATCTCTAGTTTTTACTATTTGTAAATACCCCGCGGTCTTCAAAAGCCAAAGAGTGCAGATTGTGAGATAGTATGGCACAGCTTGAGTCATTGAATTTTTTTAAAACCTGCGTCAACCTAATGAATAACATGTGTGGTTTTGTCCGCAGTTTTTGGTGCCGTCCAAAAATTGTTATAGATTAGATTTAGTTGCCAACAACACGCTGGCTAGCCTTGGATTTAATTTCCTTTTTGAACGTCTCCTCCTTATTTCTGATCATTTCGGGTCTTAATTTGCATTCACTAAAGTTTATCTTTTTGTGAATGGATTTTTTTTTTTAAAAAAAGAAATGTGCCAGGGCACGTGCAAATATATCTAAATTATATCTAATTTATCAGGTGAATATACACAATCACAATTTTTGCACTTCCCGTGTTCAGATGCTTTACTAAATTAATTATAGTTTAAACCCAAAAAAAAAACCAACTCCTCAAAGTCCTTTCAATAAGCGCCTATTTAGCACATTTAAATATAAACCAAACATGGGGTCGTAATTTGTTGGGAACAGTAATAAGTTATGGGCACAAAGAGAATTGAACCTGTCAACAAATGTTTCTTAATGGAGGTCACAAATGGAGTACAAAATCTGCGTGGAGTTTGAGAAGCCAAATGGATTTAACATTTGCGTGGAGTTTATGGCCACGCGCAAAATCTGTCAATTTCACAATGGAGTTAACAGAGAGGTCCAAGTGGGATAAATTTGAAAGTTTAGAACACAACGTGCTCAAAAATAAGATTGAAGCTGCAAATTGAGAAGCCATTGAAAAAAATTAATGGATGCAAAGTGGAGTTAGAGCTTTAATTAATACTAGTCATCCAGACACACTCGATACGTGTGTAACTTATCAAAAAATATTTTTATTTGAAAGAATCACAAAAATAGTGTAAGTGAATATAATTATTTTCTGTAATGTGTAATAAAAAATGTATTATACAGAAATATATACAATTGGAAGTAAAAAAAAAAATCATTAGTAAGGGAGAACGTGAGAATGGAAGAGAGGTAATTTCAGTTAAGTAGGATTTGTGTGTCATAATAGAGATAACGATCAAAATGTATATTATCTCCACAGCCTTGCATTGATTTTCATTCCTTTCACAAGTCTTGCAAGTTATAGATCGTAGAAGGCCATGCTTGTGGGCAGAAGTATTAACAAGACAACTCAGCTTGGACATCTTTCACATGTCAATTGGGGCCCAACTGAAATAAGGCAACTGGCTGTAGGGTTGGCTTAACAAACCAGCCTTGATGATGGATGGAACTAGATTTACTATCGAGCCAAGTCGAGCTCGACTAGCACCATACTCGAGCTCGAACTCGATCAGAATCAGTGCTACTCGAGCCCCGAGCTCGAGTTCGAACGAGTACAAAAATTTGGACTTGAGCACGACTCGATAAAATAAAATTAAGTTCGACTCGTTTGAGCTCGAGTAAGCTCGAGTAAATATCAAGCCCGATCTACTTGAGCTCGAACTCGAGTTTTGAAATAAGACTATAATTTTTTTTTCAAAATATATAATATAAAAATTCGATTTACCTCGTCGAGCACTCGAGTATTTATTTTTGGAGCTCGAACTCGACTCGTTGAATGTAACGAGTAGCTCGAGCTCGGTCTTTTTACTAAGCCGCTCGCAAGCTACTCGCGAGTGGCTTGACTTGATTGCACCCCTAGATGGAACTCGGAAAATTTTTTTGCGTGTATTAATGACAACCGGCTGTGAATTAATGACTTTTTTTTTTCCATCAAAACCTGAGTTTTGTTATCGCTAACAAGCTACTTAACATACTAGTCGTGTTTTCAGAATTACGATCCCGACCTTAACATGCCATGTTGGTACCAAATGGATTATAGTGCACTCTACAAGGAATACTTACAGTTGAAAAAGATTCAATTCTTGCATACTGAACAATAAATGTTTTTAGGGCAAATGGCAAAAATAAATATGAATGTCAGATTTTACTTTTTAGGACAAAAATGAATATTGCAAAAATGTCAGATTACTTTTTAGGACAAATGGCAAAAAATAAATATGAATTTCATCATTTGTTTAATTATAAATGATAGCTAACTTTTTTGCCATAAAAAATGACCTTGTGTAGGTCACATGATTGATTCAAGATAAAAAGTAGTCAAAAACATAAGTTGGGACAAAATTTTACAAACTTAATTTTGTAAGGGACGTAAAGTTACTATTTTGAAAGTGAATGATAAAAAAATTCATTTAACAAAATGTGAATAATGTTTTGAACATTTTTTCATATTTTTATATATATTGTGGATAATTAACAGTCTTAGTTACCTTTTACATTCTAATTACAAGCACTATACAAGTTACTATTAAATATACGATATTAATTTCAATATGCATACATGGTATCTCAAAAGTCAATTACTTCCTTTAGAAATCATACAAAGTTTAAAAGGTTATAAAATTATATGCTTCCATACTGTGAATTTCATCTATGCATTTTGGATTATCTCTTGGTTATTTGTGATTATTTATGTAGTAGAATAATTCATTAATGTAATTAGTTAATTGAAAAACTTCCATGTATCAAATGTGATAATTGTGTATATGCACCAACTATTCTTTTTTTTTTTTCTTTTGCATAGTCATGGATAGTTGGGATAGCCATCACATTTACAAATTATAAGAATAGTGTTTTTTCTTAAAGAAAAAGAAAAATGTTGGTTAAATTATGGAGTATTAAATAGAATTAAAAAAGGGTAAATCAAATAAAGAAAAATCGCTTTTGAACAAATAAGCAGAATTAAAAAATTGAATGGCAAAAATTGGATAAATTACTTTAAACAAATGGAAAAAAAGAAGAAGAAGGGATAGTAAATGTGAAAACTATGAAAATGTAGGTACATTTTGTTATAATAGAATACTCAGTGAATGTAGGTGTATGGTTATCTATACTATATATAAAGTTTGAAGAATGAATCCGGGGTTAACATTTTATAAAATTTATTTTTTGCCCTTATAAAAACTACTTTTACTTTAACTATCTATAACTATTTATGACTATTTTTACTTTTAACTATTTAATTATATGTTTTCAACATAACCACCACTAAATATTGTAACTACAAATATAAAATTATTTTATGAAAATTATTAAAAGATTAAAGTTTGTTTCGATAATAAAAATTTTATTTAAAATATATGATCATAGATATTATATTTTTTTTTATTGCACACACATTGGATGTGCATTTAAACACAGAATTGTAAATGTTATAAATGCTAGTGTATGTTAATTTGAACACGAGATTGTAATTGGCATTTATCTAGATATCTTTGCTTGCTTGTTTCAATGCATTTGCTATCATTAGATAATTCATATCACAACAAAACCTTTAATTTAGCACTTACTTTTAAGAGTAAACTTTGATTTTTACGATAATTTGGTTATCCTTATAATTAGATAACATTAATATATTAAAAAGTCTCAAATTTTGACACTATATTACTAGTCAAATTTGTGATTTATAGGCTGTCATGTCTAGTACAACTAGTTGCAGAGTTAGAATTTAAATTGATAACCATCTAGTTATTTCAATAGTTGAAGTGTTCAACCTTTGAAACATTTGTATTATGTGATATATGTTTATGATTATTTTATCTACAATCTCAATTCTAGTTTCTTGGAGTACTACGTTAATTATATTTATGATTACTTATCTACAAATTTGATATCGATTTGAAAGTCACCATGTTATATCTAAGATTACTTATCTAATTTCTAAATTAAAATTAAAATTTACTAGGTCAATTACTCATTATAGTTGTTAAAATCACGATCCGAATGTAGAATTGTAATTAGGATCAAAATTTTACCCTAAACAAACAAAATCGGTGGGATTGCATTCTAGATCGTAGGATCGTAATTTTGATCCTACTATTTCAAGATATTACTATAAAAATTTGTTGATCATAACTTTCTATAGAAAACTCGGAATTGAATATCGTCTGTGGTATTGGAAACTAGAATTGAAAGGCTTTAAGCACATATAAGTGTAGCATGCTAATTCCTTACCCCCAAAAATGGTGAACATTTAAAATTGATCCATTAAGAAGATGATCGCTTGTAAGTTATCACTCAGGACACTTATTTGGGGTTTTTATTCGGGTAAATTAAGTATTTTTGTTATATATAGGTAAGTAAGTAGTAGGCTACAACTCTGAACCCAAAGTACATGATTTTGTCATAAATTTCTATCTCATAATCTTCTTCAATTATTTGTTTATTGCATACTAATTTTTTAGTCAAAGAAAATATATTTCAAACATTTCATTATGTATGTAATATTTATTTATCTTCTTATACATATAAAAAATGATGTAATCATCAATAAATGTTATAATTAATTAAATATATTGTGTTTAATTATCTTATTAATAAATACTTAAAGGGTCTATATACATATAAAATCAACTTTTCCAACTATCTTGTCCATTAATTACGTATGGATTTAAAAATAAGAAAGAAAAAGACTTTTAGTTTGATCACATGTATTACAATATGTTACATATAGTCTCAAAATTTTTATTTTAATTTTAGACTCCCCAAATACTTTAGATAGCATAAGTCACACAACGCATAAGTTACATTATCTATTATATTTATTACATATGAGTTACAATATTTATTGCTCTATATGTGAATTGCAAATTTAAAAATTATTGGTATGAGTATTTTTTACGTTTTTTTTTTATCGGATCTATCCATCCTACGATCTCGTCTGCAGACACAAAAACAAGATCTTAAATACGATCCCAATTTTGAAAACTTGATAGATATTAGAAACTGAGGACTTGGACCACTATTTCTTGCATTCATCACCATTAATCCCAATTCATCCGCCATGAGCTAGATTTCCTCAATCCCTAATCATCAGCTCCATCTTTCACAAAAGAATCCCCTTTTTCAATCCATCTGCCATTATCCTATTACTGTCGGTGAAAAAATAAAAATAAAAATAAAAGAACCGACGGGAAACAGAGGAGGAGCCGCTGCCACTGCTGGGTCGTCGGAGTTTGTCCATACCACCACGGTTATCAAGTCGTCATTTAAAATGCACTGTGAGCTCTTACTTCCTTTCCAACTTTAATCTCAATTTGACTTTTTTTTATCTGCACTTATTTTGCAATTTTCATAGCTGAGTATACTCTTTGGCTTTCTTGGACTGAAATCATATTTTGATTACAAGTTTTGGGTCTTTCTCTTGTTGGAATTGTATGAGATCTTTAGAATTTTCGTATGACCATCTACTGTTTGAAGAAATGCCTAAACGAGAACTTGAAGTAAAGAGACAAATCTCTTGTATCTGTGCGCGTGGGGCGGAGCTCCGATCAGTCCAACGCTGATCGGAGCCCGTGACTTCGCCGGAAAGCCATCAAAGACCTAGAGATTTTTGTTTTGATTTTCTTCAAAGATTGTAAATTTTGGGGCGAAGATCTGGCAAGTCCAATGCGCGCCGGAGATGATGATTTCTAGTTGCCGGTGAAAGTTCCATTGAAGAAACAAGAACGCAGGTTACGCAGGTTTCTCCATTGTTTCAATGGAGAAAGATGACGCATTTGTGATTTCACCCCAAAATTTACAATCTTTCAGATTTACCACCGAACTTGTTTTGGGTAGTTTTAATTAAGTCCTAAGACTAGATTTGTCAACTTTTGCTTCATTAGTCTATCTATTTGTCAATTCACATTGTAATTAATTTATTTTCTCTTTTTAGAAGTGATGTAACCCATATGGGACGCAGGAGCAATTGAATCTTGTAATTTTCTTTTTCTTTTTTCTTTTATATTTTTTCTTAATTACTTTTTATTTTGTTGCATATGATCGAGTGGGCAGAGCTTTGAAATTAATCATTTCATTTTATTTCACTCTTTATGTGTTATGTAATTTTTTTTATTTGTTTGGGTATTTTGTGTTAATTAAGTAAATATTATGTGTTTAGCAATAGATTAACTCATTTTTGCCTTAAAATTGCAAGAACAAAATTAAACTTGCAATCGATTTTGTTAGGTGTAGGGGGTGCTTGAGAATAAAACTTTGACCGTTTCTCCTTACAAATGAGCTTGCGAACTTATTTCTCTGATTTCGAAAGACATGGAATTATCTAGTTAAAGGATTTTAATTTGTGTTTTAGAGATCAAAAATTACTTTTAGGTGACTCCGTATAACTAAATCCAATATCGAGTGGCAATTCAAAATTTTTGAAAAATCCTTTTTCTAGACTTTAGTGGGCCTAAATATGTGGTTTTGTTAGGTTCTATTGCAGGGTTTTTTTTTAATTTTTATTTTGGAAATAATGTCGGGGGACAGCTTCAAAGCCTACAAATTGCTTGCTGACAAGTAAAGACAATTGTATGTGCAAAGCAAAAGGATAATAATTCCCTCAATGTAGGGGTTTTGTTTAATAATCTTTTTTCATTTTTTTTCTTTCTTCTTTTTCGCCCGTTCTTTATTATCTTTACATCTTCTTTTCCTCATCTTCCAGTCCTAATTCTATGCATCAACTTCAAAAGTAATCTGTTTAAAAAAAATTCCTTTTATGGTCAAATAACTTTCTTACTAAAAAAGTTTGGTCATCATTAGTTATCGTAAGATAAAAAATAGCATGCGTTAACAATTTCAAGTATTTTCTGTTGATATTAATTTCTTCTTATGCATCAATTTTTATTAAAAATAGAAATTATGAAAATAATTTTACTAAACATAAATTTTTTAGTTTATAAAATTTGATAATAATTAGATATATTATATAACAAAATAACAGTATGTATATTTGAAACTCAAAAGAAATTTTAATAAGAATAAAGAAGAAATGAAGAAGAAAAAAGAAAGATAAATATAAAATTATTTATGCTCCCTGTGTAATATCTAATTTTGATGCTTAATGAGAAATTGTTAGTAAAACTATCAAGCGTTTGAATTATCTTTCATAAATGTACATTACCATTCCATTCACAAGTCGAGGAATTGCCCCGCCACAGACACCTAAAGCTCTTTTAAGAGTCTCTGGTGGGTTCCTGTGCATAGTCAGACCAAAATCCAAACTTCTTCCTAACTTTGCAAGGCGATCAGCACAAACATCCCTCTCTCGCCATGTGTGTTCTATTCTACATTCCCAATCGCAGCTCAGCATACCTCTGATCTCATTGATCATATTCCAATATTGGCTCTCCTCTAGTGCTGATTCTAGTAACGACATAGCTACTGAGAATCTGTCTCCAGTATGACTTTCTTGTACCCTGCTTGCTCTGTAGGCGATTCTAAGTCCCAAGAGTATGGCCCTCCCTGGATTATGTTTTTGCAGCTCCATCTACATTCATCTTAATCCAGCCCTCCTGTGGTTTGTCCCAGCTGATGTATTTCGGCTGGCTCCTGTTCTCCGTGCGAGTATTGTTAAGCTCCTGAGCCTCTACTGCTTGCTGGATTAGCTGCTCCGGACGGGCTTTGAGCTCTCTGTCCAGCCTCTGATGAACCTTCTCATTCCTCGCTGTCCATGCCCAGTGCACTACCTCTTGGGAGAGCACGGGCCAGAGTACGTTCTTGATCCTTCCTATGTCACTCTGCTTAACGTTCCAATCCACCCATTGAATCAGGGACTTTGATTTGAAGTCTCTCCATCTTTCCCTTGAGACAAGTCCTCTCCGAATTTTGTTGACCAATCACAGTCTCTCAATGCATGCAGTGCTGTTTCATTTCTTCTTCGACATACTTCACATTTTCTGGAAGGATGCAGATGTCTGTAATGTTTTTCTGCATTAGTGAGCAATCGTCCATGCCTCACTCTCAACAGCAGCAACTTCCATCTACTAGGGCCTTTAAAGCTTCCATATTCTTTCCCAGGCCATGTCTTTCTCCTTGTTGTTTTGCTAATTCCCATGCAAATCACAGGCTGATGATGTGGTGAAATTCCCATTTGCCTCTGGACTCCAAGTGATTGTGTCTGGGTTATCCAGCTCCTTGTAGACTGCTGTTGCTCTAGTCAGACTCAGTGTATTCTGGTGCAGATATTTGCTCAGGGTACTCCAGACCCAACCCAATCTGAGTTAGTCCAATACTTCCCACTTTTTTGGTTAACTCTGACCCTTGTACTTTGCTTCTCGTGTTTTGTCCCTGTGTTTTGATCGTATGTAACCTCTTTGCAAGCCTTTTTTTTTACAAGTTTTTTGCTGCAATGGCGATTGAATTGACTTGGTTGGTTACATGTTATTTTTTTCCCTATGATTTGTTCTATTCATTTGTGATTTTTCTCTCTGTCTGTTTTCTTGACCTGATTGCCGGTTTTGTTTTTCAGTATTGTTCGTCTTCATCCCAATGGGAGCTCGCTGCTCTAAATTAGGATTTTGCTGGTGGCCTTCCAACCTCATGAAACTGCCAACGTCTCTTATTCCTCTGATCTTGGTAATTCTTAAAACTCTGTTAAATGTATAAAAATGTAATCTTTGTTCCCCTTTTTCTGATGTTTTTCCTTCTGGGGTTTCAGAGAAATGTGGAGAAAATGAAGGATGAAACTGCCAGCATTTAAAGAATGCAGTTTAGATGAGTTGAAGGTGGCAACTTCAGGATTCTCAGTTGAAAACTTTTTATCAGAACATGGAGAGAAAGCTCCCGATGTTGTCTACAATTGGCAGCTTGAAGATGACGGCTCATGGATTGCTGTCAAACGTTTCAATAAGTCTTTTGGCCGGATTCCCGATTATTATTACTTCTTTTCAGCAAGTCCCCAGTTATAGTGTTTCACAAATGCGATATTATCTTATTTATGTACGTGCCTTGATATCAGCCATTGTACTTAGTTAGCCATGAGTATGGTAGATGTTATGCAGATTTAAGATTTGTTGTATGCAATTTGTAGGTTGATTAAGTGAGGAAACTTATTGTAGGCTGATGTGAATTGAAACCTTGATTATACTGTTGTTATACCTTTGTTTAAGGTCACATGGGATGAAGTATCTTGCTTCTACCAATAATATAAAGTCAATTTCATGTTTTTTTTTTCTTGCTCACTTTGGCTCTTACTATTTTGCATTTTCCAGCTTACAGCCTTGTTAACTCTCCCCCCTTCACTCTTCTTTTTTTTTTTTTTTTTTTTTTTTTTTTTCTAATGCTGAAAATGATCTGAAAACATGGAAAGATAGCAAAATCTAACCCCTGATGATGCTTATAAGTTTTGAGTAGCTACATCATTAGGAAATTAATGGATCTCTTAATTAAACCATAATGCAACCTAACCTTGAAATTGTAAGTGTAGATTGCAACCTCTAATGTTGTGGTTCTTTAATGAGAATAACACTTACTATTTTTTTTTAGATGATTACATATTTAGATGAAAGTTTGCTCTAATTTTGGTTCAATATTTTATTTTGGTTTATCTGTAACTAAATTCCATAAAAAACAAACAAATTTCATTAATGATCCATTTTGAATTAGTACAAATTATTTTACTAAACTGGGCGTCTCCGTCCTTTATCCCATCCTAGTTATCATCAACATAAGTAGATAAAGAGCCAAGGGCTGTGGTGACCTGGCTGGTTTTTCGTCGTCCTCCCGCGTGCGGCGCGTGTGATTGAGAGCGTTGTTTTCTTCGCCTCTTCTCCTCTGCCGTTACCCCATGTGCCTCCTGCTGCTGCGCATTAAAAGCTTCTTTTTTTTCTTCTCTATCTGGCGCTATCACGTGGTATTTCTTACCTCTGCGCATTACAAGCCTCTCTATTTGCGCATTAGAAACCTCTTTCTTTACATCAATGCTGCTCTCTTGTGCCCTTGTTCACGGGCCTGCTCTCTTCATTCTTTGTTGTTTAGGCTTCGTTGTTCCCAGGTACGGCGTCACCCACCACTGGTACGGCCGCCGCTCGCTTTAGCTTGACTGACCTAGGGCTGTGGCTTTGGCATATTTCTTCCTTTCCGGTTAGATTCATACTTTGCTGTAACCTTTCTGCTTCACCTTTCGCCTAAAACTGATGCTTTCTCCTGTTTCCTTTGTTTTCCTTCTTCAGCCGCCGTCGCCCCGACAAACCTCTGTCCTTCGCGTTCTCAGCCTTTCGGTTGTCTAGATCAGCTGCCTTTTGTTGTAAGTCTTCTTTTTTCCCTTTATTTACGGTCAGTTTTGTTTTCGGGTCCTTCATGCTCTTTAGATCTGCTATCTTTTGCTCTTCGCGTTCTCAGCCTTTCGGTTGTCTAGACCAGCCGCCTTTCGTTGTAGGTCTTTTTTTCCTTCCTTTTACTCTTGTAATTTCTTAAAACTGTTTCCTTACAGGCCAAGGAGGCGCCATCTTTGACCTTTTCGCTTCCACGAACGCAGCCCTTCTGCTTTTTCTCTCGCCTGGGGTTATCTTGTCCTTGTTAGCTTCGGTTTTTCCCCCTCTTTTTGGTGTTAAAAGGAGCTGCCCATTGCCCAGAAAAATAAGCTTTTCTGTTCTTTGTTCTTATTCTCTGTTCTCGGTGTGTTGCCGTTGCCTATCTCTGTATGATTTGGCTTTCTTTTCATTCAGATGAGTTTTGCTTACTTCGCTGTTGCTTGATAAAGGGGGATATCTTTGATGAATCAGCTATACTGCTCCGTTTAATGCGAGCTCTTTGATGAATAGCAAGGAAATCTGTTTTCCTCTTGGATGAGCAGTCTAATTTCTGAGTGCTGCTTTGGTAAGGGTTGATTCCTTTACTTGTTTTCGGTTTATGTAGTTCTTTTCTGCAGCTGCAGTTTGTCGTTTTTTATTTTAGTTTGGTCCTATGGAATGCGTACTAATACTAATATTGTTTTCGGGGCTGAGTTTGCTTTTCCAGCTGCTTTTGCCTTATAGCTTCGCCTTCATTCCTTAACTGTTCTTCAATTAGTACAATTTTGATACTGATTCTAGCCCTTAATGAGACCGAATAAACAATTTTGCTACAGGGTTTTTCCTTTTTGTTTTTTTGGGTTTGATCTACTTCTTAACTTCAAAAAAGATGGTGTTAAAAGGACTTTGGCTTTCTGAAGTCTCATTTCTAAGTGCTGCTTTGGTGAGTGTTGATTCCTTTACTTGTTTTCGGTTTATGTAGTTCTTTTCTGCAGCTGCAGTTTGTCATTTTTTATTTTAGTTTGGTCCTATGGAATGTGCACTAATATTGTTTTTTGGGGCTGAGTTTGCTTTTCCACCTGCTTTTGCCTTATAGCTTCACCTTCATTCCTTAACTGTTCTTCAATTAGTACAATTCTATTACTAATTCTAGCCCTTAATGAAACCGAATAAACAATTTTGATACAGAGTTTTTCCTTTTTGTTTTTTGGGGTTGATCTACTTCTTAACTTCAAAAAAAGATGGTGTTAAAAGGACTTTGGCTTTCTGATTGATTTTGTTTGACACGGAAGTCGCTATGGTTAGGAATGTGATTAATTACAAGATGTTAGGATTTTGTTGCATTTAGTTTCTTTTCCTATCCGTATATGTCTTTTTTGAAATTTTAAAATTTCATGCACTTGGGGAGAATCTGCTTCCCTTTATGACCCTTTATCAAAACATGCTCTGTGATATTTTTTTGGCCCCGTCGAATGTGCACTAATATTGTTTTTTGGTGATGGGCTTGCTTTTTCAGCTGCTTTTGCCTTATAGCTTCGATTTCATTCCTTAATTGTTCTTGAGTTAGTACAATTATATTACTAATGCTTGACGTTGATGAAACAGAATAAACAAAGATGAACTGGCGTTTTTCCTTTTTGTTTTTTAGGGGGTTGATCTGTTTCTTAACTTCAAAAAAAGGGTGTTAAAATGACTTCGGCTTTCTGGTGAATTTTGTTTGACACGGAAGTTGCTATGGTTGGAAATGTGATTAATTACAAGAAGTTAGGAGTTTGTTGCGTTTAACTCCTTTTCCTATCCCTGGATGCCTTTTTGGATATTTTTTAAATACATGCACTCGAGGGGAATCTGCTTCCCTTTTTGACCCTTTTGCTATCATGCTCTGTGATATTTTTTGGGCCTTTTTTTGTCCTACCTATTGATACTCTGTTTATTTTCCCAGTTGGAAAAAAATTGCTGATTTCGGTTGTTACTTGATAAACCTTTTGTCTTTTTTGGATTTTCCTTAACTGACGCGTTGGAGTCTTTATGTTTTTAGTTTCTGTTTGATAAAGTTTCTTTCTTTTTTTTGTAATCTGGTTTAGTCCACGAATTAGATGAAAGTCTTCTTTTCTTTTGCCCTTTAGCTATCGCGTCTCTTATACTTAATTTTCTGCGGGTTACCTTGGTGAGGCTTGATTACCTTTACTTGTTTTTTATTTATGTGGTTCTTTTCTGCAGCTACGGTGTCATTTTCTTAAAAAATTCGATCCTGTGGAATGTACACTACTATTGATTTTTGGGATGAGCTTGCTTTTTTCGCCTGCTCTTGACTTATGATTTCGATTTCGTTCCTTGGCTATTCTTGCGTTTGTATAATCCTATTGCTAATGCTTGCCATTAATGAAACAAAAAAAACAGAGTTGGTCCAGAGTTTTTTCTTTTTGTTTTTTTTTTTGTGTTGAACTAATTCTTAACTTCAAAAAAACGGTGTTAAAATGACTTCGGCTTTCTGATGATTTTTTGTTTGAAACAAAAGTGGCTATGGTTAGCAATGTGATTAATTACAAGAGGTTAGGAGTTTGTTGCATTTAATTTCTTTTCCTATCCCTAGATATCCTTTTTAATATTTTTTTATTCGTTAACTGTAGGATAGTCTGCTTCCCTTTTGACCCTTTTGCTATTATGCTCTGCTTCCTTTTTTGGGATTTTATTTGGCCTGCCTATTGTGACTCTGTTTCTTTTTCCGGTTGGAAAAAATTTGCTGATTTTGGTTGTTGCTTGATAAAGCTTTTGTCTTTTTTTGGATTCTGCTTAATTGATGCGTTGGAGGGAAGTGTGCTTTTTTTCCCCCCCTTTTGCTATCACGATCGTTTGTTGCTATCAAGTTTCTGTTGATCGCTTGCATCGGCTCTGGCACTTGGCCTGCCCCTACTGCTTCGCACCCAACAACTTCATTGAAACTCTGGGAATTTCTTGTGTTGCCTGTCTTAAAGATCTCTATGTCTTTCCTAGGTGCGGCCATGCTACTCAGTGGCTACGTTTTCCTGCTGTTTTTGTCCTGCTGTACGCTTTTACTTGCTTTAATACTAATTGACTTATATTTTACACTCAGACCACGTGTTAAGTTAGTTGTTACTGATGGTACTGCTTCCATCAGTGTCATTGCCTTGGGTTATGAGGCTGAGAAACTGATAGGCTTCACTGCATACCAGCTTAGTCAAGCTGAACATGAGGTTTTGATCAGTTTACTTGTTTGTGAATTCCTGTTCCTTACATATTCTGTGAGCTGCATTTGTTTTGCTAAAATCTGCTGTTTTATGTAGGGTGTTGCACTAAACCTCCGGGTTGCCAAAGCGCTCGATGGAAGGGTCTTGTGCTGCTATGTTAGCCGTTCTCCTGAATCCGTTCGATTGGCCGGAGTCAGCTTTACTATTGTTACATCCTACTGGGCTGGCGAAACTATACCTGTAATAGATTAGCGTGTCCCTTAGCTTATAATAGTTTTATACTTTTAGGCTATCCTTTTTCAATTATCAGTTGTTAAATGCTTTTGTAATGTGATGGTTTCTATCTTTCGTAAACACACTCGTTGCGGCATCTCCCCCCCCCCTCCCTTTTTAAAACCCCCTCGAAATGTTTTCGTCCGCACAATCTAATTTCCTCTGTTTGCTATAATAAAACATGACTCTTTCAGACCATTCGCCTTTAGTAGAAATCGCTATGCTTCCTATCAAACAACCGAAATGTAATTTCCAGCTATTCAAAACCATTCCCCCAGTTTCGAACTTGTGCCGCATGAACTCGGGGCCTCTTCTTTTTTTAATTCCCTTCGTGCTACGTGTACGTTTTTTGTTCGCCAAGAAAATAAATCCATACATCCCAACACCTCTAAATCATCAAACCAGGAGGGGGGCGTCTTCCCTCAAATAGGATTAAATCCAGTTATCTAATTGGGTGGGGTCCTGTTGGCCTGTACCTATGTCACATGCACGGAGTCAATCTTTCTATAGATAGTGCTGACTTGTTCTTTTTCAACTTCTTACATGCGCCTCAGATATACTTTAGGTGTCCCTCAAAAGAGAAAACAACTTGTACTTTCTTTTCCAACTGCAAATAAGCATTTTCAGCTATATAGCCGTCTTACAAAGAACTTCTCGTTAAGTGCATTTCAAAAAATTCCCATTTTTACGTATCTGCACATTTGTCAACTTGCTGCAACAAAAAAGAACCTCTGCACTTTGGAGCTCTGCTACCGATGGGTTTTATATTTGTGCTCGGCTGGATTGTCTGCTTCAGGGTATGTAAGCCTGTCCGTTGCCCAATACTGGTGAGCTTTATTCATATCTTTTACGTTAGCTTCTTTCTTCTTCTTTATCTCTCATTAGTAGCGTCAGTCTCACTGTCTTTGTTCTATCTGCTGCGTTTGGTCTCTCCACCGAGAAGCTCTTCCGTGAGTTCTTCAGCTGCGCCTTCCTGTGGTAACTACGCTCCTTCTTTTTTTTTTTTTGCATGGCTGCATGCTATCACTTTTTCCCGCTTTTTCTTCTTTCCTTCCGTTTTTTGAATGGGTCTAACTTTCTATTCCATTTGTTCCTCCTCTTTTGTTCCTTCTCAGCTGTCCCTTTAGAGTTCTCAAGCTTGGTTCCTTTGCGCTCTACTCATTTTCGGACTCCTGTTTTGACTTGAGGTACTTTCTTATGAGTTCTTTCTGCCATTTTGTACTTGCCATGCAGAACCCCTTGTTTTGTTCCTTGTTTTGCATTTACTTTTTAAAAGCTCCAATGTTTCGTTTCTCTGCATTCCCCCCCAAACACTATGCGATCTCGCTTCTATTCCCAGCAGAACTATGAGTCTACAGCCCTTTTACTAATTTTAACCTTTAATTCTTTACACCTTGTTTAAGAATTCCAGTATGTCTCTTGCTTGCTTTTAGTTTGGCTCTCGCTTGCTGTCTAGCTCGTAGTTATTTGTTGATTCTTGCTTCTCTGCTTATTTGTTTTTTCTTGTTATTTACTTGTTATTAACCTTCTTTTCCCTTTCCTTTGGCTTGTTTGGGTGATAGTTTGTTAGTTTTTTTCCTCCTTTTCATTTAATGTTCCTGCTGCTTTTAGCCTCTTTGCTATTTTTTATATCAGACATGCAACTGTTGTATAGAATTCGTTTTTTTCCTCCTTTTCATTTCATGTTCCTGCTGCTTTTAGCCTCTCTGTTATTATTATATCAGATATGCACCTGTTGTACAGAACTTCTTAGCAACCTTTATCTTACTTCTATGCCTTTAGTTCAGCTATTTTTTCATGCTTCTTTTTTTCGTCCTGCCGCTAGCCTTTTAAGGACCAATCCGCCTTTTTCCGTTCCTCCTGCCGTTATGAATCGTAATGCGGCTCGACGCAAGCGCTATGCAGATATGCCGCAACATTTAAAAGATGCAATGTTGCGTCGACGGAGAGAAAAATACGCTGCTCAGAAAATACGGTCCTCTTCTGTTCATGCTCCTCCCTCGATTGTGTGTCCTCATAGGCAGTCCGAACAAGCCAATAGGAGGTCTCCTTCTAGGTCTAGACTTGATTCTAGCTGTTCTGCCTTATCAAGTTCGAGCGACCAGCCGCTCAATCCTACAGATATTCAATCATCTACTGCTACCTATATTTCGTCTCAGCAATCACCTCCTCCTACTTCTTCCCCTCGCGACTCGTTACTACCTCATGGAGGTATAATTTTCTCTCGAACAGCTATTCACTTATGCAGTCCAGCCACATTGAAACTCTTCTTCCTCCTTTTTTTACTCTCTCATTTATTGATCCTCCTGCTACTCAGCGAAATCCTTACCGCACTTAACTTGTGTTTTTTCCGCTTTTCTGCTATTTTTATCTTTTTTTTCGTACTTATCAGCTCGTGACACTATCAACTCGAAAGAAGTGTCTCCCTTCACATCTCCTACTCCTCCTGCCTCTTCATTGGCCAGACCTGCTAAACGTAACTTGGTTAGTTCGCAACCAGCAGGTGCCGTTCAATCTGCCAAGCGGATAAAACCTAACACCACGCGGCTATCTCGTTTAGAAAAGATTCCATCTAAACCGCTGACCCTTCCTGACGTCCCTTGTTGCCGTCATTGTGGTGCTAAGAGGTTTTACCTTGAACCTCCAGGTTTTTGTTGTTCAAACGGGGCCGTTTCGATTGTGCAGCATGCAATGCCTTATGATCTAATTCGTCTTTTCACTGGGACGGACGAAGAAAGTACTGAATTTCGCAGGAATATTCGCACTATTAATAACAATCTTGCTTTCACTACTTTTGCTGCAAAATATGATAGGAACCTCACAAAAAATAGCCGCGGGGTTTACACCTTTCGTGTACAAGGTCAGGTCTATCACTTCCTTAACAGCATCGTGCCTTCAGCCCCCTCTCCTACGGGTATTCAGTTGCTATTCTATGACTACGATGATGAAGTGACAATGAGACTTCGAGACTCGCCCCGTTTGCGAGCCGACACTCTTAAATTTTTAATTCATACACTTCAGAGAAATCCTTATACCAAGTTCTTTAGGAGTCTTCGTGAAGTTCCTCACCTTGAAAGACATCGGATCGTGCTGAATTCTGATCCAGGATTGGATCAGCGGGTATACAATCTTCCAGCTACTTCTCAAGTAGCTGCAATTTGGACCGAGAGTGATGACAAAGATCTCGAGAAAAATGTTCACATTCAGGTGTACAGCCATTCCAGTTCCAGCCATAGAATACAACATTATTTTGCTTGTTACGACCCCTTGCAGTATCCGCTCTTGTTCCCTCGTGGGGAATCTGGCTGGCATCATGGTATTCCAAAAAAAAATGTTTCCTGTCCTAAAAAAAGGAACATTGATGAGGATGATATGCTGAGCGATGTTTCCCTGATAGAAGGACCTTCTGAATTGATTGATCTCGAAAAAACAGGTATTTTCCTGCTCATAAAAACAAGTTTAAAACAGGCTTTCTCCTGACTAACTATTGATCCTCCTATTAAAAACGCTTGCTGTACCTTTTATATTTTTTCCCAGCTGCCGAAAAAGGGAAAACAAAACGAGACACTGTGTCTGCCAGAGAGTATTACTGTTATAAATTTCAGATGAGAAATAATGACATGTCGATGCTGTTACACGCAAGGCGTTTGTTACAGCAATTCACAGTTGATGTATATGTTAAGATCGAGACGTCAAGGCTTAATTTTCATAGGAAAAAACAGAACGAAATTAGATCCGAGGTCCTTAAGGGAGTCATTGATAGCATGTCTGTTGGCTGTACTACTGGGAACCAGGTTGGTCGTAGAATATATCTACCAGCTTCTTTCATTGGTGGCCCAAGGGATATGAGGCGTAGGTACCTAGATGCTATGTCTTTGGTGCAGAAATTTGGTAAGCCCGACCTGTTCTTGACTATGACCTGTAACACAATGTGGAAAGAGATACGTGATCACTTGAAGTATGATGAGGAACCTCAGGATAGGCCAGATTTGGTTGCTAGGGTGTTTCGGGCAAAGTTTGAGGTGCTTAAAACTGAGATAGTTAAAAAAAAACTATTTGGTGAAGTGGCGGCCTTTGTTTATGTAATTGAATACCAGAAAAGAGGCCTTCCTCATGCCCACATGCTTGTGATTTTGAAACCAGAAGCTAAACCATTGAACCCAGAGGCATATGATAGAATGGTTTCTGCTGAGCTGCCCGACCCAAATGAACAGAGTTACTTGTACTCCCTTGTTATAAAACACATGATGCACGGTCCTTGTGGATCACTGAACAAAGAAAATGTCTGTATGCAGAATGGAGTGTGTAAAAATCATTATCCGAAGGAGTATATTGAGCATACTACGCATTCTGAAGATGGCTACCCGCATTATAGACGAAGGAAAAATGGCAGATCTGTTAGGGTCAGAAACCATTCTTTGGACAATAGGTGGGTTGTCCCCTACACTCCATACCTTCTTGCTCTTATAGATTGTCACTTAAATGTCGAAATCTGTTCCACTGTTAAACTGGTCAAGTACTTGTACAAATATGTCTACAAGGGACACGATCGGGTGAGTTTTCATATACATTCTGAGAATGATCCAGAAACCATCGATGAGATCCATGAATTTCAGTCTGCTAGATGGGTATCAGCAGCTGAAGCAATGTGGCGCATTTATAGGTTCCCGTTGAATGAAATGACGCCTTCCGTTTACACGCTTCAGCTCCATCTTCCAGGAGAACAAGTTGTTTCTTTCCACAAGAATACGGATTTGTCAGATCTGGTTGATAGTTCGGATTTTGCTAAAACGATGCTGACTGAATTTTTTGCCATGAATAGGCGCAGTAAACAAGCGCGCAAGCTGAAATGCCTATATCGAGAGTTTCCAGGGCATTTTGTTTGGCACGCTGATAAGAGAAATTGGACTCGCAGAAAGCGTAGGAAAGTAATTGGCCGAGTGGTTACTGTCCGTCCCAATGAGGGTGAACGATATTTTCTAAGATTGCTTTTATCTCATGTCCGGGCGCCAAGATCATTCAACCACCTTCTCAGAGTCGATGGCCAACTTGTATCTTCATTTCGAGAAGCTGCCTTTCGAATGGGCCTGCTCCAGTCTGATACCTACATAGAAGACACTCTTGATGAAGCCGCTACATTCCACATGCCTTGTTCACTTAGAGCCTTGTTTGCAATGTTACTTGTTTTTTGCACTCCTTCCAATCCCATTAGTTTATGGGAGAAGTACGAAGCTGACTTATCCAGTGATTTAGCAAGAACTGCCTCTATCACCGGCTGTGATTCTACTTATATTAAGAGGTACGTGCTACAGGACATAAATAGATCATTGGAGCAGATGGGTAAGCACATAAGTGATTACCGTCTTGTTCCTGATCATCTTCTATTTACTGACCATGAACGCATAACCAAAGAAATCGAAAGTGAGCAAACCGTGCGCTGTTCAGAGCACGATTTGCTGGCTGTTTCTCAGCTGAACACTGGTCAGCAAGCTGCATATAGTGCCATTATGGCTGAGATCTTTTCGCCTAATGGCAATAGTTTCTTTGTCGATGGTCCCGGGGGAACCGGTAAAACCTTCCTATATCGTGCTTTGCTTGCTACTCTGCGGACGCATGGTCATATAGCCTTAGCAGTTGCATCATCCGGTGTTGCAGCCTCTATTCTTCCTGGGGGAAGAACTGCACATTCGCGCTTTAAGATCCCTCTTGATGCATCAGCTGCTAAAACTTGCCAAATTAGTAAGCAAAGCTCGACTGCTAGATTGATTGTTATGGCTAAGTTAATCCTATGGGATGAGGCTTCGATGGCAAAGCGAGACACCATTGAAGCGTTCGATCTGCTCCTCAAAGATATCATGGATAGCGATAAACCTTTTGGCGGTAAGGTCGTGGTCTTTGGCGGGGATTTTCGTCAAACTCTCCCGGTTATTCAAAATGCAACAAGGGATATTCAGGTTCAGGCCACCTTTGTTAACTCTGCTTTGTGGAGCAGTTTACAGAAGGTCACTCTAACAGAAAATATGCGAGCTCTTTTAGACAAACCGTTTTCAGATTTTCTCCTTAGAGTGGGAGATGGAACTGAACCAGAAGATTTCGATGGGAAAATATCTCTGAACAATGACATTTTGATACCATACGACGAAAAGGACAGCTCTCTTGACAGGTTCTGTTCTGACCTGCAACTTCTATATATATATATATTACAGTTTGTGTTGCTTGATAGTCGTTACATGAGTGTTAATACACCGTATCATGGGTTATGCTGCATAAAATAATATGTTTTGTGCTTCGAACCTTGATCACACAGGTTATTAGACTCAGTGTTTTCGGACTTGCGGATTTATTCCTGCGACCCCTATCTAATGATAAATAGGTGCATTCTCTCCGCAATGAATAGTGCGGTTGATGATGTAAATCAGACGATAATTGATCGCTTCCCAGGTCAGCCTTATACGTATACAAGCACTGATAGGACACTTAACGAGCGAGATCAAGGAGATTACGAAGATTTCCTTAACTCTTTAAATCCAAAGGGCCTCCCTCCTCATAAATTAATCCTAAAGAACAATTGTCCTGTCATTTTGATACGCAATCTCAACCCGGCTGAAGGCCTCTGCAATGGAACTCGCCTCATCTGTAGAGAACTCAAACAAAATACAATTTGTGCTGAAATTGCTGTTGGACAGCACCGAGGAAAAACAGTGTTGCTCCCAAGGATTCCGCTTCAGTCAGCTGATAACGAGAAAAATGGAATCCCTTTTAAGAGGACTCAGTTTCCAATTAAACTCTGTTTTGCAATGACTATTAACAAGTCACAGGGACAGACATTGGATTACGTGGGAATTTATTTACGTGAACCCGTGTTTTCGCATGGACAGCTTTACGTTGCTCTTTCTCGTGCAAAAACTTCGTCAGCTGTCAAAGTTCTCATTGTGCCAGCGACTTATAGTGATTCTGCTACCTGTACCAAAACAAGAAATGTTGTTTATCGTGAGGTCCTGCAATTAGCTAAAATGTGATTTTCCCCCTTGGTGAGCTGTTCTGACTTGTCTCCTTAGCGGTCTACCCGCTGTTTCTTTTAACCTTCTGTCGTTTAAGCATGCTAACACTTACTTGTTATGGATTTGGTTCTAACCTGTCTCCTTAGTGGTCTACCTGTTGTTTCTTTTAAACTTCTGTTGTTTATGCATGCTAACACCTACTTGTTTTGGATTTGGCACTTATAAGTGATTTATTTGCTCGCTCTAGGATGTCTGAGTTCCTGAAAATTGCTGACATCAAGCCAAAAATGCAGAATTGGTCTGCCAAAGTTTTTGTAAAAGAAAAAATGCATCCTGGTTCTGGCAAGACCAGCCCAACCAGATATCAGAAATTTGTACTTTCTGATTCAGAGGTCTGTTTAATTCTTTTCTTTCTCAATCCACCTACGTCAAAGGGGACAAACTAACCTGATCTACTGTACTGTATTTTTTGACAGGGTTCTAGAGTCCAAGGAATCCTTTTCAACAATGCTATTGAGAAAATGGGCCCAAAGCTACAGCTGTATAAAAAATATCGCATCTCTAATGCTGAGGTGAGGGAGCTAGAGAAGAAATACCAGTTTGATGGTATAAGCATCCAGTGGGTTATAAGCACTCGTACTGTTGTTGAAGAGGACGATGATGAAGATGGCTCCGTCTTGCCCTTTCATTTTGACTACATCCCTTTCAGAGATTTCCCACTCTTTGTAGATTCAAAGAGCGAAACTGTTGGTAATCTTCTAACCTTAGATTGCATGACTGCTACATTTCTTGGAATCATCAAATGCTCCTTTCAAATAGCTGACTCTTCTAAGTCCTCAATATTAGATGTGCTCGGAGTGGTCATTGATGTACAGTCCACTGAACCAATCAGAATTCAATCGCACGATTCGTATGTTCAGCGGTTTGTCATCGTTAACGAAGAGTGAGTTTCTAAAAAAACTGTTTTCCTGCAGTTGATACCTTCTCTTCTAAATGTCGCTTAATAATACAGGCTGCTGTGTTTTGCTTTGTTACAAAACTGACCATATACTTTGAAAAGCAAGATGAGCCCTTGCTGTAATTTATTACACAACTGAACATATGCCTTTAAAAACAGAATGCAGCCAATTGTTCTGTCTCTCTGGAACAAGTTTGTTGAGTCCGAAGGCAAACTTCTTATGCAACTGCTAAAAAGGAGGCCAGTTCTTATTTGTCGCAGGCTCAAAGTTGTCTCTTATAATGGTATCCTTACGTCATTGCTTGTCAAATTGTATACATGCTACCATATTTCTTTGTTTTTCCTTATTTTTAAGTACCTTGCATTCCTCTTTCTGGCAGGAATTGCGCTCTCGACTAGAAACGATTCGGTGCTTCTCATTGATCCGCCTATTGGAGATGCAAGCCAGTTGAAAAATTGGTTCGTTCGGCGCATATTTTTTCACCTTCAGCCAATTTCAGACTTATCAGTTGTATATTGTACCTGCTATTTATGTACCTGCTTTTATCTTCTACTGAAGGGCAATGAGGAATGAGAGCCAGTTTGCTACACTGGCTCAGGAAAAGACGTATAACATGCACAGCCCCAGCATGTTTCATTTATCAAAATCCAAGGTTTCTACTATACAAGCTGTTCTGGCGGCTCAAAAGGTCATTATATTAAAGTACCTGCACTTTTTAAATCAACCAGGGAACACAGAAAAAAATCATTTTGTTTTTTATTTGTTTGATGTTCACAGCTCGCCTGGGTTAAAGCTCGCTTCTGTTTCCAAAACATATTCCAAAAATATTGGTATATGTCATGTGTCAAGTGTCATCGTCAAACATCAGCCAATTATGGCCACACTTTTACCTGCAATCACTGTAATGAGAGGCAGCCCGCAGCTCCAAGGTAATTTCCATATTCCTATTTACTAGGCATTGATCTGTACTTTTGAAGCATTTCCTAAATATTTTCATGGTATTTTTCCATCGGACCAGGTGCCGCTTTGATGTCGATCTCACTGATGATACCGGCGTTATGACGGCCTCTATATTTGGTGAACTAGCTGAGCAATTGCTTGGAATTTCTGCAGTTGCAGCAATGAATTTTTATGACAAGGTTTCTACTACACTTGATGAACTAATGCTCCCTTTGTTACTGCTTCTTACATGTCAATTTCGCTAAATTCATTCTCAGAATGAAGAACTCCCACTCGAACTAATTCATGACACGCTGAAGTCCAAGACATTCATTGCTCAAGTTAAGCCTGGAAACACCAAAGATGATGGGACTTACCAGCGATACACAATTGTTTACTACTTTGAGGACACCAAAGACCATGACCTCCTTGTTGAACAACCCCCGAGTAGTTCTCATGTGGCCAGTCAGCTTTCTATAGCTGATACTCTGGGTTATTGCTAAATGCTTAGCCATATACTTCTTAAGATACTCATTCACAATTTTTTTTTTGATTCCTTTTTAATTTTTTCTTGCACAGAGAAGCCATGTTCTTTTTCGAAGAGCCACTCCTGCTCAGATAAGAAACTAAATGTTCCTGAACCAGCAACTCAATCTTCTGCTATAAACATATCAGGTATCTCCTATCCCTTCCATTAATCCCTATTTTCCATCTTGGTTTGGGTTTTGTCTAAAGATAAATTTGCTTCATGCACAGACAAGCCATGTAGTTCCTCTAAAGCACGCGTTTGCCTTGCAAAAAGAATTGAACTCAGCGAGGATGCCGAAGCTACTATATCAGAATCTGGTGATGTCGCGGGCAGCAAAAAACCAAGGAATGCTTGATCTGCTTGCCCTCATCAAGAAGTCTTTTGTCGTTACTCTTACTCTATTATATAGGCCTGTCTAGGCATATGCCCTTATTAAATACTATATCAGAAGCCTGTGTTTTCACAGGTTGCGAAAAAACAAGTAATGCTTGGTCTATTTGTCCTTATAAGAACGTCTTTTGCCGTTGCACTTCCTGCTATTGGCCGGTCATCTTTTGTGATTGTGTTGTCTGCTGTGTAAACTTGACTCACTTGAATGTGTAGTCGACCATCCGTCGCTGGAAACATATTAAAGACATTTAAGCCACTTTATGTATGGCCTGTTTCCAGCCTATCTAGCTGGCATGTGTTATTATGTTTATTTTCCTTATTTGCTTCCTGAGCCATGAATTGCATTGCATTTATGGCCTGCTTCCAGCATGTCTAGCTGACGTTTGTTATTATGCTTATTTTCCTGCTTTACTCCCTGAGCTATCAGTTGAGTTGCGATTCTTATCAGACGTTTTATTGCAGACTGTTGACAATGCAGCCATGCCAGGCAACTATAAGCAACAAACACTTTGTTTATGGAACAATGGCACACTTGAACACCTGCTTTGGTGGTCAGCATTGCTCCCGGTTTTGCTATTCCTACTATTATACGAAATGATGTGCCTATCTTACACGGAAATAGAAGGTTGTCCTGCATGTGAATTTTGTCATAATGCACCCCTTTACTCAATATCCCTCCAACAAATCACTTCCCTTGCTTTTGCTCGATTGTCAATTCTTGAACCAACCCCCCCCCCATTGAAAAAGTGTGAATGCTTTTGATGAGAAAAGTGGCTGAAAGGAAAGGCAGCGGAGAGGTTACTAGAGTACCCTTACTAGATTTGACTTTACCACATGAAAGATTTGTTAAACAACTAAAACTAATAAAGCTATTCCTGCATAATTAAATTAAGTAACGAATTAGCCGAGTAACCAATCATATAATTAGCTACGTAACTCACTCCTAAAAAAATAATTAACTACCATCTAGATAGTAAATCATGTAATTATCTAATTAGCTACTTAACTAATTACTGATTAACTAATCAATCTATTTCTTAACAGTTAAACTACTAACTGCTTATCAAATTAACTAATTAACTAATTATTATTTGTTATTAACTAATCAACCTTTTTCTGCATAGTTAAACTAATTACCTATCGAATACCTACCTAATTAAACATTACTTGCTTAGCTAAGTAATTATTGACTACTTAGCTATTTTTTATTTGTCTAATCAATTAATTATCTATTTAACTCATTAACTAGCGCAGTTGTTTGTCCGAAACTAACAAACAATTTGCATATTAAATAGTTTTTCTAATTAATTTGCAAGAAAAGTAGCTATTTTTTTCTTGGTCTCCACGCATCTAAGGAATGAAACGTTGGAAAGCTGGGTTTATTGCAAATTTAGTTCCTAAGAAATTTCTGTACGTAATGACAGATAGCAATAGTTATTGAGATTTCTATAAAAAACTAACTATTTTTTTTTCCAAAAAAACCTGTCAAATTTGCAGTTACTCCAAACAATAAATCTTCTTTATGCCAGTGTACACCTACCGTTTACTACCCCATTGAATTGCACTTTTTCCACCAACTTCATTGATTATAAGCCTGCACCTTTTCCACCTTGGTTATCATAAACGTCTATAAAGTGTCGCATCTATCCTCTTGACCGCATTTCGTGTAATTTTTCATGCCAGCTTTCTCCTTGCTCTTGCCTCTTCTATACGTATTGTTCTTTCCATTCCACCTTGGTAATGGCCAAACCCAAAAACCCTTTCAAGAAGTGGAAAGTAGTATATCTCAGAGACAAAATTCGATACTACCTTTGCACTTTTGACGGCTCTCACGTTCACGCCGCAACTATTATCCAATCATGTCAAGGAAAGACATTATGTTCTCCCAAGAGAAGTTTCTTTAGAACCTACCCAATGGTTTTAAAATACATGGGCGATCCCTCGCTGTACTCTCCTGCCTCGGTTGAACAGTGGTTGCAAAATGTCATTGATATTAGTCCTGAAGCTTTTGCAACAAACGGTTCGCTCTTTGCTTTCTTATGTCATGCCTGCAATTTGTTCCTTTTAACGATGAAATATGATTCTACTGGCCTTTATAATTTTTTTAGATGAGCTCGAGCCTTTGACGAAAGAGGTTCCAAAAGGAAATCCATGGTGCTACATTATGATGTGTTCGAATCGACAGAAACAGGTTTTGTCTATTATCTTGTCAAAATGAACAAGAAAAAAAAATATCAAACTTGTACACATTCCATAACGTCTATATTCTCGAGGACCTTGACCCCCTCCCCCCTCCCCCAGAAAATTCCGAGTTCTATCTTTAGATCAGCAGGCTTCGCAAATGGCCAAATTATGAAGTTATACCATGGGATCACTGTTTGGCATGTAACAATCGCTGATGGCTGCTTCGAACAAGGCTGGGAATCCTATTGCGCGGACAACCTAATTCACGAATATGACTTGCTCTTCCTACGACATAGAGGGAATCTTACCTTCGATGGCCTTGCTTTTGGCACAACACAGATCCTCACACTGATGCCGTGGACACTACCTTTACCAATGGTGCAAAATTATAAAAACAATCAACCAGGAAATTATTCTCTTCCCCACTATTTCTCCTTATTATGCTTTACAACATTCATGTTCACTAAAGGCAATTGATTTTCATTCAGATATTGCGGCTGCCGAAAACTCGGATCGTATTACATCGTCCATACATCCATTCTTCGGCCATAATCTCGCGGCATCTACTACTTTCTACCAATTTTATACTGAATGCCATAGATACACGTTGGTGAGCGTACGCCTTTCTGTTCTTTGTTCCCCTCCCCCCCCCGCTTGTCATATCTCATATTTGGTTATTCACAGGCCCTTCCGCAATATATATCCCCGACATTACATGAAGCAAAAACTCCAACAATCAATCTCACTAGTGGCCACCGAATATATAGTCTTGGAATGACCGCGACCAAGTTTGATCAAAACTGGAGCACATTCGTTGTAGACCATGAACTTCAAAATGGCGAAGTCCTTCTCTTCATGCCCCAATCCAAATCCTGTTTTTCCATCATCATCTTCGACCGGAAAGGGAATGAACGAATGTATCCCTGGCACTACAATTTTAATATTTAGCTCCATGTTCTTTCTGTTTCAAGTTCATTTTGATTAGTTCCCAGACGTTAAAGGACTGTGCTTTAATTAGCTTTGTGCCGTTGGTTTGCACTTTTGCTGCTACCTCCGCTTTTTTTGGTTTTCTATTTATATCGCCTTTCTTAGACTATACGTTCACTGTCTTCATTAATCGTTCCGGCTCGTTCTACTGAGCTGGGCATTCGCACTCTTATTCCTACCGCGCAGAGCGCGGTTCTTGCCTCCTAGTTATAAGAAAATGCCACAACTTGCTAGTGACGTATGGGCCCTCATGAGCGTCAACTTCGTTCCTCGATCTGTATAGCATCTGATTGCAAGAGATTAATCTTTACCCACAAACGACAGCTAACTTCTTCACGTACGAACCGTTGAAATTTGAGCTTTTCGAACCTATTGAACCCTTCGTCGCTGTTGTTTGCTTCCTCGTTATTTCGCTTGTTTGTACTTCTTCCTGTTAGTCCCTTTTCTCACCTCGACCATTGACTTTGAAGTGTTCGACTGTGAGTGTGTGTATATATATATATATATATATATAACACACAGTCTTAGTTTCCTATACAGAAGATAAATAAAATAATAGATGTAGCTGCAAGGAAGTGAGAACCGGGGAACGGGATCGATCCAGAAGATATAGCAGTTTTCTCCTGTACAAAACCACAAATGGCAAGAATGGAAGCTCAAACTTCTCCCTCCCCTCCTTTTTCTGCGGAAGGTTTGGGGCCTTGTCAACTATCATACTGCCATTCATTTGACAATTTTTATCAGTGGTGGGTTTCCTGGAGCACATGCGGCAATGACGGAGGACGCTGCGGGAAGCCTCATCATCTCTCAGCCAGTAAGTATGGAGTTCTTTCAATAATCTCTCATAGATATATAACATGTATGTTTGTGGATATTTTTGTTGGACTCTATTTATCGCAATTAAATTTGTCATAGCTATATATTGTCTGACTCTGATAAAACTCCTGTGGAATAAATTTTCATGAACAATTTAAAAGAGAAAAAAAATTAGTTTGATGAGAAATTAAACGGTTATATGGATGTTAGAAAGATACAAAGCGGAACGGATCTTCTGTCCCACACCCTGTGCCACTCTCTGTCCCACTTTTTATTATATTGCTATTTCTCTTACATAAATATCATGTTTTAGTTTTTTTTTTGTTTCCTTAAGATCCAATAACTATTAATTAAGTAAAAAATAAATACAACAGCTTCAAAAAAATAATATATAATAGAAAATTAAAAAATATAGCAGAAAATTCATAAAAAATCTCATTTTTTATGCATTTTGATTTTTTGAGTTTGTTAAATTTTGTTTATTACTCAATTAATAGTTATTGGATCTTACGGAAGCAAAAAAGAATTAAAACATAATCTTTATGAAGGAGAAATAACAATATAATAAGAAGTGAGACAGAGAGTGACACAGAGTGTGGGACAGAAGATCCGTTGCGGATACCGAGGCTTGGGCCATCCAATTGGAAGGTACAAAGGAGGCGGCGGCGAAGGTACACATTCCATCCATCAGATGTGTAGAATTAGGTTGGAAGGCTCTGTCAAAGTATAATTTGGAATTTTTCTAAACTGCAATTTGCTCAAAGTTTATGATGGATCATCATGACTCATGAGTACATAACTTCCTTTCTTTGACTTGTTTGGTCTCGGCGAAACCAGTAAATAAATAAATCAGTAGAGTACTCTGCAATAAATAAATGAAACAAACAGTTCATATATACTAGCAAGCACCCTTTAATATTTTTTATACTGATTTTCCTATTGCAGCTGCTGACGGTGCCGTGATTAAGGACCAGATCAAATGGTTTCTACAACTTGCTTTGGAAGCAATAGCGTGGTGCCGGTGTCTAGTTCAGTTTTGGGGTTTAGTGAAGATTGGCGACAAAACGTATTTGACAACTTGTGACCAGCCTTTTGCTCTCAAATGCTACCGCTTCAGTGATCTAGACGTCAAGGAACTATGTGAATATCGGAAGCACTGTTTGGAGTACTTAATACCCGTCGATGAAGATGACCAAGTGCAGCTTATAATTGGTCCCCCTGGTCGGGTTTTCCGCAGTGGGTTGCCTGAATATGCACCTCGTGTGGATGATTACACTATTGGAGAGTATCCTCAACGTCATTATGCGGTCGGCCGTGTCATGGGATACTGGGCGTTGCCAATCTACCATCCTACTCGGCACCTTCCCAGTGGTGTACTTGAAATTGTATCATCATATTTTTGGGGCAAACCGTGTCGACGTTGGGTTCTGGAGACGCTTCAGGTTCGACTTTTCTCTTTTCAAGTTGCTTAATTACTTCTTTCCTATTGCTGACAAGGACCGGGGGTGGTGTTGTTTATCATTTATGAGTTATATAATTATTAGTATAATTTTTATCAATAAATTAGATGATATATATGAAATAGGTGCAGACTCCCTCCCTTATATAAAACAGAGGAGCTTAGAGGACGAAGCCCAGGCCGTAAATAATTAGCATCTGTTATCAAAAAAAAAAAAAAGGAGCCAATCTGATTCTCGTTGACATCATTTCATTTGTGTTTCTCTTTCGGATAATTACTCCCCCACCGACCAGAATTTTGATGAGAGTTACAAACTACATGTCTCGGCTTTACGGTCACTTCACAGCATACTTACTGTAATGACTGATATAAAGATAACTAATTAATTTATTATTTGAACTAGGTCATGGATGTAGGGGTAATTTATAACATAACCAACCATTGTCACCTTGTGTGTTATATAGTGCAAGATTTGTGGTAGCATGGCACTTAATAAGAATTTCGTGATAAATCTAACTTGAATAGGGGATGCTTGGCATGAATTTTGTATGTCTCCATGTCCTTTACAAATTTGGGGATAACTCGTGGCATCCAATTGTTAGGTTGGGGATAATTATGGTGACGGTCACCCTAATATTAATCTTCTCTTTTTAAGTTATTTTTTAAGTGACAAAAAAGTTGTTTCTAAAAAGTCTATGGTGTTTCAAGGAGGTTTTGGCTTTTCAGAACTTCTATACCATAATTAGTAGAGGGGAATTTCGCCAATTTGGTCCCTAAACATTTTCACTTAAATCAATTTCGTCCTTGATGAAATATTTTAACCAATTTAATCCTTGAACTAGTTTTTTACTTTTAATGTAGGACTTTTCACTGCATTTTACTCAATTTGCGTGGATCAAGGGGTATAATTGTCACATTGGTTTAATCTTTTGCAATTAACCGATGAAACAAATTAGATTGAATGTACTCGGTCAAGATTTCATCTTCTTCAGCCGTCCACCTCCCTCTCTTTATACCCACTTTCTCACAGCAAGGGGCTCTTCCCATTATTCTTCAGGTTTCAGATCATGTATTCGGTCAAGATTTCATCTTGTTCAGCCGTCCACTTTCTAGAGATTAAAGACGGTCTGCAAAAGTTGTCATGAATTAAGGGCTGCAAAAATGTCTGCAAAAAAGAAAGACTCAACCTACGCAAGCCAACCAGTGTTGCTGAAGGTATGAAAAATCAAGAATCTTTCACGACCATCTTTTTCTGATTGAGCCAGCCAAGAAGCCAGCTCAACTGCCAACCCAGAAATCCGTTCTTCTAAATTCTTCCCCAAATCAAACGAAAGCACATCTTTTACAGAAGCAACAAAGGTAACAGCATGAATACCACTCGAATTATACAACTCCACGTACCTCCTCAGATGCTTTGGCTTCGACCCAAGCCATCCCAACAAAACTGCAGCAAAGATTGGCCCTTTATCCCCGATGACCCCATTTTCTCTTGGGTGAATTCCATCAGGAGCGTAATTCCAGTGGAAAGATTTAGCTTTTTGGTCAGAGAAAATGCGGAAGAAGGTTGAGGTGGAGAAGAATGAGCTGAGGAGAAACTGTGGCGAATTGAGGGAATGGGAAAAGCCAAATGGGGTTGTTGAGGGGTGGTGGGGAATGTGGGCGTTTGAGAAAATAATGGAGTGGCGAGTTGGAATTGGGCGATGATGATGATGACGACAGTAAGGAGGAGGAGAGGGAAACAGTGTGGAAAAGGGCTTTAGAGGGAGCGGCTTTTGGAGAGGGAAAAGGGAGCTGGGAAGATGGCGAGCGGAGGAATTGAATAGTATCCGGACTGAGGCTTCCATTGTTGCTTTTGGGGTGAGGACAGTGAATGCTGATCGAAACTGAAGCAGTCGAGATCTCTTAAACAGGTCGCGCGGCTGGAATTCTTGGTTTACAATTTCATTTGTGGACAGTCGAGATCATGTACTCGGACATTGAAGATTTCAGGTTTCATGATAGTCATACTGATGTAATGCTGGGATTAGTCAGTCCCGTAAGGTTTACTAGAGGGGAATTCCTGTTTGGGCAATGGTTATTGACCTTTTGCCTATCCCCTGTTTCCCCTGTTTCACCTCTTCCATCTTAGTCGTAATTGCATCTTAGACCATTTTCATTGCTTCGCTAATGATTCTAATCTGATCTGATGATTCAAGCGATGGGAAGAATAATCTATCCCCTGCTATCTAAGATGTTACCTAAATTGTTTCAGAACGCAAGTACCCCTGTGCACATGATACTGCTATCTTCGTTTACAAACAATTTCACCAAGTTATAGTTATTTGAGTTCTCCATTATTATCATATCAGCAACAAGGCCTGCCTTTGAGTATGGAATTAATACCTTTTTTGTGTCCATTTTGATCGCTTGAAGGACTACTTAGATGTGGGAAGAGTTGCAGATTGAGATGGATCAACTACTTGAGGTCTGACTTGAAGCGAGGCAATATAACTGCAGAAGAGGAAGAACTGATAATTAATCTGCATGCATCTCTCGGCAACAGGTGACCCAGTATTCCTCACAACATGCACGACTGTCTTTTCCTCCTTTTTTCTTTTTCCCTGGAGAATGCCCGCCCCCTTTTTGTAATCATCTCTAATTTGTTTCGTCGGTTAATTGCAAAAGATTAAACCAGTGTGACAATTATACCCCCGTTGGTCCACGCAAATTGAGTAAAATGCAGTGAAAAGTCCTACATTGAGGGTCCGTTTGTTTCGGGTGAAAATGTTTTTCAGGAAAATATTTTCCTAATTTCCCGTGTTTGGTTGCACAAAAGTTACTGAAAACATTTTCCTATGTAAAATATTTTCACTCATCTTATGGAAAACAACTTCCCTTCCAAACTTACTGAAGTTGTTTTCCGAAATGCATGCATCCCGCCTGTAGTATGTTCCAACTTATTGAAAACATCTTGTAGTATGTTCTTTCTTTTTTTTTTAGTGTAAACAGGAGAATTCGAACCCAAGATCTCTTTCTTACACTCCCTCCCCCGTACCACCCAACCCTCCCCCTAGTATATTCAAAATAATAAAAAACCTCATCCTGCTTATCCTATGCTAGTAATTAATTATGTATAATAGGGACATTTTTTTCTAGAGAAGCTTTCAGCAGTAAAAGTGCAAGATATATGTCACAATAAGCATTGCATGTGATTGATATTTGACAGTAAATGGCCAGCAATTTGTTTATTGCTTAAGGAGATATTTTTTATTCATATATACATTTCTCCAAGATTTTTTAAAGTTAAACAATGAGATAAATTTTCTTATTTTGCATGGGAAGAAGTATGTAGTTATAATGTGTAGAAAGTAAAGATAGAGATAAAAGTGAAAATATTTCAAAAGTTAAACAAACACCAGAAAAATGAAGTAAGAAAATATTTTCAATAAGCTAACCAAACACTTGAAAATGATGAAAGGGAAATGATTTTCATGGAAAATTACTTCCACGGAAAATATTTTCCCAAGAAAAACATTTTACATCCAACCAAACAGACCCTGAAAGTAAAAAACTAGTTCAAGGACTAAATTGGTTAAAATATTTCATCAAGGACGAAATTGGTTTAAGTGAAAATGTTTAGGGACCAAATTGGCGAAATTCCCTTAGTAGAGTAAACATACAAAGAGCTTGTCTTATTGGGATTTTTTTTTCGTTTTTTTTGTGGGTGCAAATCCGTTGTTGTCAAACAGTCTTTAAAAGCCAAATCAAATACTTTGAAACTTGTAAATAATACCTTAATTTATTTACGGCGCATATATAATGTGTTTGCCAAAATCTACTACAGGAGAAGAATCTGACAATTACTCGTGTAATACTCGCGGCAGCAAGTTCATGTGAGTACCTCAAGTATTTTTTTTTTTCCCCTTCTTTTATACTGCATGATCTTGGCTGAAGCTTTAGGCTATTCCTTCCATGCCAATACTTTTAAGCCATTCATCTACAGGTCAAGATGGAGAAATTGCTATAATTGACCAAGCATTGAGCAAGGTGAGGCAAATACGTGGACTGGGTTATGCTGATACTGAAAGTTGGACTATTTCTGGAGAAATACTAAGTTCTCGTGAAGGTGTAGATTTTATTCGGAAGGGACAAGGGGTAGTTGGGAGAGCATTCTCATCCAAAAGTGCATGCTTTTGTAGGGATGTAAGACAATTAAGCATAACAGAGTACCCGTTGGTAGTCCAAGCACGATCCTACAAGTACTCTGCCTGTTTTGCAGTTTGTTTGCAGAGCCCTTGCCCAAAAAATTGCATTTACGTACTGGAGTTCTTTCTACATATGAATGAAAAAGATGAAGATGAAGATGAAGCAGACTATGGGGAAGATGAAGATGAAGATGAAGCAGACTATGGGGAAGATGAAGATGAAGATAAAGTAGACTATGGGGATCCTATGACATTGTTGCACAGCCTAATGGAGACATTGAAAGAATGCCTGGGAAGTTCTTTTATGATTGCTTCAGGACAAGAATTGGGGCAGAAATTGACCGTTGAGGTTATAAAGATCTCTTCAAAGGATGAATATGATTCTTTTGAAATCTGCAATACTACCGGTATCGAATCTACACCTAGGCTTGGCGAAGTACGAGGAGAAGGAATGATGCAACTTGATTTCTCATCTCAGCAAGTTGATGCTGCAAATGGTTCTATGAATGGTATCCATGAACAGCAGAATGGAAGTGTTGGATCTACACCTAGGCTTGCAAAAGCACAAGGAGGAGAAGGAATGATGCAACTTGATTTCTCATCTCAGCAAGTTGATGCTGCAAATGGTTCTATGAATGCTATCCATGAACAGCAGAATGGAAGTGCTAGATCTACACCCAGATTTGCAAAAGCACAAGGAGGAGAAGGAATGATGCAACTTGATTTCTCATCTCAACAAGTTGATGATGCTGCAAATGGTTCTATAAATGGTATCCATGAACAGCAGAATGGAAGTGCTGGATCTACACCCCGGTTTGCAAAAGCACAAGGAGGAGAAGGAATGATGCACCTTGATTTCTCATCTCAACAAGTTGATGATGCTGCAAATGGTTCTATGAATGCTATCCATGAACAGCAGAATGGAAGTGCTGGTTCTACACCCCGGTTTGCAAAAGCACAAGGAGGAGAAGGAATGATGCACCTTGATTTCTCATCTCAACAAGTTGATGATGCTGCAAATGGTTCTATGAATGCTATCCATGAACAGAGTGACAGTGAAGTGACTAATGTGAAAAAGCGAAAGTCAAGTCGTACTTTAAAAAGCAAACTTGGAATTACTCGTGAGGATATTGAACAAAATTCTTGGAGGAGTCTTAAGGATGCTGCAAAAGTTCTTCAAGGTAATTCTTAACTGTAGCTCTTCTCTAGATCAGAATTGAATTCAAATTTGGTTAAAGTGTGTTGAATCTGTTGATTTTCTTCTTTCTTTCTGATACTTGCAGTTAGCCGATCTACGTTGAAGCGTATATGTAGGAAGTGTGATATTGACAGATGGCCATCTCGTAAAGCAAGAAAGGTTAATCAAGCCTCTGCTGAACAGAGAGTTGTTCAGCCTTCTACTGAAAATACTGCAGAACAACACCGGCCAGACACAACAAGGCTAGGAGATGATAGTAGCATCTGGGTGAAAGCAGAATATCAAGGAGACACCATGAAGTTTAGACTTCCATTGTCAGCCCATAAATTCAACTTGGAGGAGAAAGTTGCACAACGATTGAATCTACCGATTGGAAGTTTTAAAATTCAGTATCAGGATGAGGAGAATGAATGGATTTGGATAGCCTGTGATGAAGATTTGAGTACCTGTACGAGCACGTTAAGCTCACTAGGTAGGACAACAATTAGAATGTTGGTCAGGTGATAGCATATTTATGAGCCTTTGTATAATTAATCTATTTTTTAAGCCTATGGTGCTCTAGTCTGCTGTAGCTTCCAAAAACCTGCATTTTTAGGATCATTGACTAGATAAATATGGCAGATGAAGAAGATGCCTCCCACACTTCAATGATCCTAGTGCGTTGTGTCCGGTCCACTATATAGAACTTCTTTTACTTTGGTTTAAAAAAAAAAAAAAGTGGACAATTTTGACTAAAAGTGCTTCAAATGAAAAAATGAACTGAAGTTAAATGAGGAAACCCTTTCCAAGGTGTGGCAACTAGATTATTATCATTATCACACTTGCCTCGTTTGAGTTAACATTTATTCTGGGATTGTAGTTGCCACATGTTCTCGAATTACTTAAATTTCAATTTGTTTTGTATGATTAAGAACCATTAATTTCTTTGATTGTATTGATATGATTGAGAAAAACTAAGTGAATGATTTCTAGGCTAGATAAAGAGTATCGGTAGAATAAAATGTTTCTTTTTCATTAAAATAAACATTTGAAATTAAAAATTTTACAGTACTTATGTTTCGGTGGGAAAAAAAAAAACTTCCAGCAAAATTTTTTTTGTTTTGTTTCATCACCCTAAATCGAATCCTTGGCTAAATTATATTTAAGATGGCTACTGGAAGTGCAGAAAAATTGGTTTTTTTTTTAACCTTTTGGGATCAACCTGGATTTTTTCTTTGTGTTAGTCATATTTGTAGTGTGTGATGTCCGGAAATTGTGATTTGAGGGAATTACTTAAAATTAACAAAAGTATATTGTTGAGGAGAATCTAAACAGGAGATAGCAATAGATATTGAAGAATTAAAATAGCTCAAAAAACTAGCAAAAAAGGAATAGAGAGTTGGGAGCTGTCTAAACTCTAAAGGATACATATATATACATATATATATATATATATGTATAAACCTTATCCAGGGGAATTGTTGCAGGCAACAGTTAAAAAAAAATTGACATATACTATTGGATGTAACAATTTCAGAGACAAAACACAAATAATAAATATGCCAACATTCATAACAAAACTCAAATATAAATTTCAATATTGTTTATTTTTAAATAAGTCTACTTTTAAAAATGCATGTATGAGCAAAAAAAAAACGAATGCTAAAATTGTTGGACCCATTTTCTCTTTTTTTTTTCATACCAAGGGCCTGGGCTTCCTCGCTGAAAATTTGGAGCCCAAGACACACTACATCCTTACATTGTAGCCCACTTCCCATCAATTCCCATCCCATAATAAAAGAACAACGTTTAAGGCATCAAAACGAACGCAAACTTCTCCTTTGCAGCCGCCAAGTGGTAGTATGGGGAATAATTATAGTAAGAAGCAACTCGTTCTTATAATATAGTAGTTAAACTAGAGGTATTTTGGCTGTGCTTTGCCCTTAGAAGTTTAGTTAAACATAGAGCAATACATCTTTTTGGTAATATAGGAGAAAATTTGAGCATCAAAACAATTAAAATTTGCTACAAAGAGAAATTTCATTTATGAAGTTAGTCCCCTATTTATTGTGATTAAGACAAAGATTTTCAAACCGATACTATGTGTGCATAATAATACCCAAAAAAGGAGAGATAATAAGTACACTACATTGTCAATTTAATAGCAGCATAACTTTAATTGTGACTAAACCAAAAGTAGTCATAATACTTTAGCAGTTTAATAATTAGAAAAAGTTTAGAAAGTCGCCAAGATCTGTCACAATTTTTAACATCAATAAAACATACAAACTTGCACATTTTTCTATCCTTTTCAAAACATACAAATGTACACATTGTTTTTTTTTTTTTGTCTTTTTCAGAGAAAAAGTGAGCTGTTATGCCATCCATTTAAATCCTTTTTATAGCAGTACAAACAGGTGATAACATTATCTGCCAAAAAGCTTGAGAATACAAATAGCATTATTAGATAAAAATATGAGCTGCCATGTTTGCAAATGTACATGTACAAATTCGAAACTAACCATTTGTTTGATAGCAAAAATATCAAGATTGAATTTTTTAACAATTTTTTTTGTCGAATCACACTCTAGGCTAAAAGTCTCAATTTTAACTTCCACCACCAATTGCGATTCCTTAACAACAGTAATCAATTTCCACCACCAATTGCAATTCCTTAACAACAGTAATCAATTCAGCTACTTGAGTTTATAAAAATTTATCAATTCCTTCAGACAAATAGTCATGATATACCCAATTCTACATCTAGCTTATATTGTCATTAGGGACAACAAAAATGATTAAAAATACAAATTTATAGAACCAACTTAAGCAAATGATTTTAAAATCTAATTTTACACTTCTTTTCTTCTCAAACTATAATACCATGAAAATAAACCACCTATCATGGATACAAGTCAGTAACCCAAAATGAAGAGCTTATATAAATATTTTATTCATATCCTAAATTGCTGCCCCAACAATTCCTTTACATATCATCCTTCTCATTTAATAAATAACCATTTTTTGCTACTAAGAAACTTTAAATAAATCAAAATATGAAAAATATAATTATCTATCTATAAATTAAGAGACTTTGATTAATTTTAAATTCAATAGACCTCTCTATTTCCTTCCTAGTCATCATTCACCTTGATCTTCACTCGAAGTGCCAAACAAGTTGCTGATAAACCGTGGATGTATTGCAGTATGGAACTGCTAAAATTATAGCAGGCCATATTCAAAGGTAGATAACGAGCTCTGAGCATTAACTCTACATCACAGAAACAGTAAAAGCAATGGCAAACCCAAGGCTTTAATGACAGCCTCCACCACATCCAGCACTAAGAGAATTGCCTTGGCTAGACTAAGATTCAAAGCCTTAGAGCCCGGCAAGGAACAAGCGAGAACAAAACAAGCTGCCCAAGAATGTTGAGACTTCTTGCAGCTGGGATTGGTGATGTGAAAAATCGGTTTTTTTTAACCCTTCGGATCAACCTGGATTTTTTCTTTGTGTTAGTCATATTTGTAGTGTGTGATGTTCGGAATTTGTGATTTGAGGGGATTACTTAAAATTAACAAAAGTATATTGTTAAGGAGAATCTAAATAGGAGATAGCAATAGATATTGAAGAATTAAAATAGCTCAAAAATCTAGCAAAAAAGCAAAAACATTAGAAAAAAATTTATTGCTAATACACAAAATTAATAAAGAAAATGTTTGATTTATCTAAGAAGTGCCAATGGACATTCATTGAGAGGGATTTTCAGAAAAAAGTGAAATAAAAATTAAAAAGTATTTCCTTTTAAAAAAGGTAACAATAAATGCAAATATGTGTACATAATAGAAGCCAATAATAACACAAGACAGCACGAAATATGTATTATACATGTATGAACCGATGATAACAGGTAAGGAGTGATGATTGGCTATGCAGTTCTATCATTTGGTGACAAAAAATGCATTGAAAATATGTCCATGAAAATACGTATCTATGATGCCCTTTCTTACGGTTCTTCCGGTTCCAGTCTTCATGGTAAAAGTAAATGAAAGCATTGAGAAATTCTTCATCGATCATGTACATAAACTTTGCAAGTGACTAAACCTACAAATAAACTTAAAACCCAATAACTCATCCAATCAATCCATTAATCTTGTATACACTGTCAGTGTATATACTACCACTGTTAGATATATGATGCATGTATAAAATTTGAATTTGAAATGTAAATTTTATTCATATGTCATTCATCCAATCGTGATAGTGTATCTAAAGAACGAATATGTTAATCTTTTTTTGACGCTTAGTTCTCCTCTTCTCCAATCAGGGCTCAATCTTTTTTTTCCCCCATTTATGGGCTATTCAAATGTAATTGGACCTTACACCAGACCCAATATTGTAATAATAAGACGGCCATCATACATCATTAAAGGTTCACAGCTGGTGATTCTAATTCAAACTTATTTCAAGCCATCCATTATGGAGTAACTCAAAATCCACCAACTTCATCTTTATGCAAAGTTGAAAGTACGGACTTAGGAATTCGTGGGAGATTGATATGAAGAACCCAACATAGGAGATTGAATAATCTCTTTCACTTAAAGAGTTAAATCCTAATTAGTGTACAATTTCACGACGCTTTCGGCTCTTGCTTTTGATTTGCTTCCAGTTCCAGGTTGTTTCGCTTGCAAAATTCTTGGCTTCAGTCCTATTTCTCTAGTCATCCATTGACTAAAAAATATGCACGGATAACCCATGTAGAACCTTTTTTGGCCTATTGAACAATTGGGACCACTTTCCTATTGGTTGCACATGTACCATCTTGGTTCTAGCTTTTGCCTTTTGCTTGCTTCCATGTTACTTCGCTTTTTTTTATTTCTTCTAGCCGGTCCTTTTCTCAAAACCTATAAATTGCTCTCTAAAGCCATGTTTATGTGCAAAGCAAAAAGATAATAATGCCCTCATTATGAGGATTGTGTCTAATAATTTTTTTTTTTCATTATTGTTCTTTCTTCTTCTTCTCCTTTTTCCTTATTATTTTTACATCTTTTTTCCTCGTCTTCTAATCCTAATTCTGTGTATGAACTTCAATAATAATAATGTGTTAAAAAATTTCCTTTTGTGGGCAAATAACTTTCTTACTAAAAATATTTGGTCATTATTATTTATCACAAGATAACAAATAGCATATAGTAACAATTTCAAGTATTTGCTATTGATAATGATCACTTCTCATGCTTCAATTTTTATTAAAAAAAATAGAAATTACTATTTGAATTCTCACAATGTTTTAGGATAACTAAAAAATTTTTTTATAAGAAAATGCCGCAACTTCCTAGTGACGTATGGGCCTGATGAGCATCAACTTTGTTCCTCGATCTGTAAGGCATCTTATGTGGGGTCCTGAATAGGGGAAAGTGCCAGAGATTAATCTTTTCCCATAAACGACAGCTAACTTCTTCACGAACTGTTGAAATTTGAGCCTTTCGAACCTATTGAACTGTTTGAACCCTTGGGGCTTTGGCTGTTGTTTGGTTCCTCGTTGTTTCGCTTGTCAGTCCCTTTTCGACCATTGACTTTGAAGTCTTCGACTGTGTGTTGTGTATAAATATATATATAACACACAGTATTAGTTTCCTATACAGAAGATAAATAAAAGGGATAATTGCAGAAACCTCCCCTGAGATTTCTGACATTTGCACTGACCTCCCCTGTAGTTTAAAAAATTACACTGACCTCTCTGAGGTTACTAATCCTTTGTAAATTTAGTCCAAACGATTAAAATATTATTTTAAGGAGTGAAATTAGAATTTTGTACCAAACTTGCCCTTTGTACTACATATCCAATGAATGACAAAGTAATATAAATCAATTAACAATTAATAAACTTTAAGGAATATAATTTATGGGCAAACACGTATTACTCATTTAAAATACAGATTTTTTACGCGTATTTTACTTTCAAACATTTAATTTATGATAAATATATCAATATTTGTAAGTAAAATTCAAAAAGTGTTACAGTAATATTCTTGAAAAAAGGAAATTGGTAATTTATTTATTTAATATAAATTAAATATTTTTTTAAAAAATGAAATGACCCATAAAGTATTAATTTTTTATGACTTTCATCCATTATATGAGTAAAGTATTCGCTTTTTATGTGCATTTTATTCATTTAATTTATGTTAAATATATAAATGTTTGTAACTAAAATTGAAAAAGTATTATATTAATATTTTTATGGAAGAGAGATTGGTAGGTTTTGTATTTAATAAAAATTAAATATTTGAAAGTAAATACAAATCTGTATTTGAGCGTAATATTTGTATTAAATTAAATGTTTGAAAGTAAAATGCCCGTAAAGAACTGGTATTTTAAATAGTTACCGGCTCTTTATGGGCAAACACGCATTACTCATTTAAAGTACCGACTTTTTAAGGATATTTTATTTTCAAACATTTAATTTATGATAAATATATCAATGTTTGTAAGTAAAATTCAAAAAGTGTTACAGTAATATTCTTACAAAAAGAAAATCGGTAAGTTATTTATTTAATATAAATTAAATATTTTTTTTAAAAAAAGAAATGACCCAGAAAATATTAATTCTTTATGGCTTTCATTTATTACATGAGTAAAGTATTGGCTCTTTATGGACATTTTATTCTGAATTATTTAATTTATGTTAAATACATAAATGTTTGTAACTAAAATTGAAAAAGTGTTATATTAATATTTTTACGGAAGAGAGATTGGTAGTTTTTGTATTTAACAAAAATTAAATATTTGAAAGTAAATACAAATCTATATCTAAATGTAAATATTTGTATTAAATTAAATGTTTGAAAGTAAAATACCCATAAAGAGCCGGTATTTTAAATAGGCAATGCGTATTTGTCCATAAACTATATTCCTTAAAATTTATTAATTGTTATTGATTTGTAGTACTTTGTCATTCATTGGACATGTAGTACAAATGACAAATTTGGTAAAAAATTCTAATTTCACTCCCTAAAACAATATTTTAATCGTTTGGACTGAATTTGCAAAGGCTTAGTAACCTCAGGGGAGCTTAGTATAATTTTTCAAACTATAGAGGAGGTCAGTGCAAATTTCAGAAATCTCAGGGGAGGTTTCTGCAATTATCCCTAAATAAAATAGATGTAGTAGTAAGCAACTGAGAATCGGGGAACGGGATCGATCCAGAAGATATAGCAAGTTTTCTCCTGTACAAAACTACAAATGGCCATAATGGAAGCTCAAACTTCTCCCTCCCCTCCTTTTTCTACGGAAGGTTTGGCGCCTTGTCAACTATCATACTCCCATTCATTTAACAATTTTTATCACTGGTGGGTATTCTGGAGCACATGCGGCGATGACGAAGGATGCTGCGGGAAGCCTCATCATCTCTCAGCCAGTAAGTATTTATGGAGTTCTTCCAATAATCTCTCATATATATATATATATATAATATGTATGTATGTATTTGTGGATATTTTTGTTGGACTTTTTATCGCAATTAAATTTGTCATAGCTATATATAGTCCGACTCTGATAAAACTCCTGGGGAATAAATTCGCTAGAAAAATTTATCACAAACAATTCTAGTAACTAATTAGTTTGATGACAAATTCTAGTAGCATATGTATGTATGTACGTATGTGGATATTTTTGTTGGACTATTTATCACAATTAAATTTGCTAGACTATTCTAGTAACTAATTAGTTTGATGACAAATTAAACGATTGTTAGAAAGATACGAAGGCTTGGGCCTCCCAATTGGAAGGTACTTAAAGCTCTTCAATTAATCTTTGGGAAAATTATACACGGATACATCATCAGATGTGTAGATTTATGTTGGAAGGCTCTCTCAAAGTATAATTTGGAACTTTTCTAAACTGCGATTTGGTCAAAGCTTATGATGGATCATGAGTACATATGAATGGTACAATTGATAAATCAGTACAATAGTACTAGCAAGCACCCAATATTTTTTACGGATTTTCCTATTGCAGCTGCTGACGGTGCCGTGATTAAGGACAAGATCATACGTTTGCTAGAACTTCTTTATGACGCACTTCCGCCGGATTGTCTAGTTCAGTTTTGGGGTTTAGTGACAACTGGGGACAAAACGTATTTGACAACTTGTGACCAGCCTTTTGCTCTCCATTACTATGTCTCCCACTTCAATGATCAAGACGTCGAGAAACTATGTGAATACAGGAAGCACTGTTTGGGGTACTTAATACCCGTGGATGATGATCATGAGATTGGTCCCCCTGGTCGGGTGTTCCGCAGTGGGTTGCCTGAATATGCATGGGATGTGAGTCATTACACTAGTAGAGAGTATCCTCAACGTGATTATGCGGTCGGCCGTGTTGACCAGTACTGGGCGTTGCCAATCTATCATCATCCTAGTCGGCACCTCCCCATTGGTGTACTGGAAATTGTATCACCATATGAGTTTAGCGGATTACCTCAATATCAGGTTCTGGAGAATCTTCAGGTTCGACTTTTCTCTTTTTAAGTTGCTTAATTACTTCTTTCCTATTGTTAACAACGACCTGGTGGTGGTGTTTATGATTTATGAGTTATAATTATTAGTATAATTTTTATCAATAAATTAGATAATGCATATGAGATGGGTGCAGACTCCCTCCCTTATACAAAAAAGAGGAACTTAGAGGACGAAACCCAGGCCGTAAGTAATTCGTTTGTGATGACTAATTTAAAGATAACTAATTAATTTATTATTTGAACTAGGTGCTGCATACAGGGGTAATTTATAACATAACCAACCATTGTCCTGTGTGTTATGTAGTGCAAGATTTGTGGTAGCATAACATTCGTGATTTAAGCTTTTATTGAACTCAGGACCAAACAAAATTTGGCACTTAATAAGAATTTCATGATAAATCTAATCTAACCTGAATAGGGGTGATGCTTGGCATGAATTTTGTATATCTCCGTGTCCTTTACAAATTTGGGGATAAATTGTTGTTTTCAGTTGTTAGGCGGTAGTAGGAGAGGTGTTTTTATAAATTAATCTAATGAAAGGTCCCTTTTGCAATGTGTCAATAATCAATTTTTTAACTATTTATAACTGCGAAAACTATGGTGACCGTCACTCTAATATTAATCTTCTCTTTTTAAGTTATTTTTTAAGCGAAAGAAGTTGTTTCTAAAAAATCTATGGCGTTTGAAGGAGCTTTTGGCTTTTCGGAACTTCTATACCATAATTAGTTGAGTAAACATACAAAGAGCCTGTCTTATTGGTTTTTTCCCTTTTTTTTTGTGTGGGTGCAAATTAGAGCTGGCAATTTGTCCCAAGTCCCAATGGGCTACCCATGCCCAAAGGAACTTTGGGCGGGATGGGTATTATAATTTGGTATTGGGTTTAAGTTGGGACACATCCCAACTATACCCATTAATGAATGGGAAAGGATGGGAAATACTTGGGTACCCATTGGGCTCAAATGGCAAGGGCTCCGTTTGGATTAGCTGTTTTTGGTAGGTGTTTTTGAAATATTTTATTGTAGCAGTGTATATGAAAAATTTTTACTATAAATTTTTTTTGAAATATTTGATATATTAATATGGATGGGATGTTTCTTGAGTTATTGTATATTACTGTAACATTGTATTTGAAAAACTTATTTTTTGAAAAAAAAGTCAATCCAAACGGAATCGTAGATTCAAAAATTATCTTTAACAATTTTTATAGTCATACCAGCGAATATAATCTAGTAGTCTTCCTAGTCATTATCCACAAGAATTTCCAGCATTTCAGTTAGTTTAGACCTGTCATCCTTGGACAATGATAAGGATAAATATTCAACATCCTAAGGACCTTGGCCATCTTGATATATGTTGGAATATGGCTGTATATCTATCTTTTCCTTTATTTGTTAATCCAATTTTTGGTGGGAATCTTGAGTATAAAGCACTTGCATGTTTATTTAATAAAACTAAAAGAAATTTAATAAATCAAAAATATTAAAATTATATTAAAAAAAATGAATTAAAGGAAAAAAAATATGTAGAAAATGGATTTGGGTATTGGGCGGGATCAATCTAAACCCATCCCAAAATGATCCCGCCCAAGTTAGTCCCAAAACACATATGGGTAAGGTTGGGCCCAAACCCATATGACTCGGTTCCATCTCAAACCCAAGCAAATCCCGCCCATCCCGCCCATTTTGCCACCTCTAGTGCAAATCCGTTGTTGTCAAACGGTCTTTAAAAGCCAAAGCAAACACTTTGAAACTTGTAAATAACACTTTAATTTATTTAAGGCGCATGTATAATATATTTGTCAAAATCTAATACAGGAGGTGAATCTGACAACTACTTGTATAAGACTCGCGGAAGCAAGTTCATGTGAGTACCTCAAGTATTTTTTTTTTCTCCTTTTATACTGCATAATCTTGGCTGAAGCTTTAGGCTATTCATTCCATGCTAATATTTTTAAGCCATTCCTCTACAGGTCAACCTGGAGAAATTACTACAATTGACGAAGCATTGAGGAAGGTGAGGAAAATATGTGGACTGGGTTGTGGTGATACTGAAATTTGGACTACTTCTGGAGAAATACTGAGTTCTCGTCATGGCTTGGATTTTATTCGGAAGGGACAAGGGGTAGTTGGGAGAGCATTCTCATCCAAAAGTGCATGCTTCTGTAGGGATATAAGAGAATTAAGCATAACAGAGTACCCGTTGGTAGTCAATGCACGATCCTGTGAGTGCTCTGCCTGTTTTGCAGTTTGTTTGCAGAGCTCTTGCTCGAACAATTGCATCTACGTATTGGAGTTCTTTTTACCTATGTGTGAAGAAGATCCTAGGACATTGTTGAACAGCATAATGGAGAAATTGAAAAATCACCTCAGAAGTTCTTTTAAGATTGCTTCAGAACAAGAATTGGGGCAGAAATTGACCATTGAGGTTATAAAGGTCTCTCCAGAGGATAAATTTGATTCTTTTGAATTCTGTAGTACTACTGGTATCGAATCTACACCTAGGCTTAGAGAAGTACAAGGAGTAGAAGGAATGATGCAACTTGATTTCTCATCTAAACAAGTTGATGCTGCAAATGGTTCTATGAATGGTATCCAAGAACAGCAGAACGGAAGTGTTGGATCTACACCTCGGCTTGCAAAAGCACAAGGAGGAGAAGGAATGATGCAAGTTGATGCTGCAAATGCTTCTATAAATGGTGTCCATGCACAGCAGAGTGGGATTGTTGGATCTCCACCTAGACCAGAACACGAGCAGGGCTTTGTCAACATATCATATCAAGAATTAAATCTTGCAGGATTTTATGTTGCACAAAATTCTATGAATGGTATTTATGAACAGCAAAATGGAGTTGTTAGATCTTCAACTGGACAGGGTCTCATGCAAAACATGGTCAGCATAGCACATGATGAACCAATTGTGGAAGATCCTCAAAGAGATGGTGCTAGTATAGAACAGAGGGACAGTGAAGTGACTAATTTAAAAATGCAAGAGCCTAGTTGTACTTTAAAAAGTGAACTTGGAATTACTCTTGAGGTTCTTGAACAAAATTCTACGAGAAAACTTGAAGATGCTGCAAAAAATATTGGAGGTAATTCTTAATTGTAGCAATTCTCTGGAATAGAATTGAATTCAAATGTTGGTTAATGCATGTTGATTTGCATCTGGATCTGGTTGGAAAGATCTAGTTTACATGTTGTGAAGGCTTTTTCCTTAACTGACGTTTTCCTTTCTGAAATCTGCAGTTAGTCGATCTACATTGAAGCGTATATGTAGGGAGTATAGTATTCGCAGATGGCCCCCTCGTAAAGCAAGAAAGGTTAATCAAGCATTTGCTGTACAGAAAATTGTTCAACCTTCTACTGAAGATACTCGTGAACACCACCGGTCAGATGCAACAAGGCTAGAAGATGATAATGGCATGTGGGTGAAGGCAGAATATCAAGGGTGCATGATAAAGTTTAGACTTCCATTTTCTGCCCATAAAATCCATTTGGAGGAGAAGGTAGCACAGCGACTGAATCTAGCAGTGGGAAGTTTTAAAATTGAGTATCAGGATGAAGATAATGATCGGATACGGATAACCTGTGATGAAGACCTGAGTACATCTATAAGCACATTAAGCTCGCTAGGTAGGACTACAATCAAAATGTATGTTATCTCCACATCCTTGCATTGATTTTCATTCCTTTCACAAGTCTTGCAAGTTATAGATCGTAGAAGGCCATGCTTATAGGCCATTGATAATGATGGGTACAAAGCAGATGTAGAATTACTAGCCTAGAAGAATGAAAGGTTTATGCACGTTTTTGTCCTTTATATATTCAGCAGTCGCTAATGGAAATTGTGCACGGAGCAAAGAAAGGAAAAAGTGTAATAAATTAGAGCATCTGCTACATATTCTTGTCTCAGGGGAAATTAAAAAAGAAAAAAAAATGGAATTTCATCAAGAAATTGGTTGTTTTGGGTCCCAAAGCCCCAAGGCCAAGTCTATCTGCTGAACGCAGGACAGACCAACACTTGTGGTTATCACTTATGACTGGTTGTTGTGTATGCATCTAGATTTAGATGCTTTCAATTCAGTGATTTTTCCCTATTCATTGATCATTGGTCAGCAATCACTTTTTCACATACATCCTTGTATGTGTGCATGTTCTAGGAGCTGTGCTAACTACATTTGTGTATGATGTGCTGATACTCTTTGTGGCAGAAAATTTAAAAATCTCGCTAGCATTTTTGTCAAAGGATGTAAACTTCAAATGTTCAAGATTCATAATTGCCTTAAACAATCATTTTTGTCATGATACAAGAATTGATGTGCTTAGAATTGGAGCTTTTCAAAAAAAAATTATACAATTCATAGCTTACTGTTTTTGAATTGTTGGAATACGTAGAGTTTCAAAACAGAGCGATCCTTTGTTTTGCCATTGAGAAAACAGTTCTAAAGCAGCCATTAAAGGAGACATAATAATTAAATGATAAGGGAAAATACTAGAGAAAATGCATTACCAGAAAACAAACAATATAAAAAATCGCTCTCTTCTGGTAATTTTTTGTTAGATTTTTTACCGGACATAAGGTATACAAAAAAATTGGTAAAATTGTTCCTTGTGTGTTGTTATCCCACCTTATGTACTTCATTGTTTAGAAAAAAATGAAAAAAAAAGATAAAAAGAAGGAAGAGAAACACATTGCTGAAACTGCCAAAAAAATTTTGTTCTTCAAGTTCTTAATTTAGTCCTCAAATTTAGAAGGACGCATTTTGTTCCATGTCATGATATGGATATATGTCAAATTAGTCCTTATGCCTATATCTCACCAGGTAGGCCAGGGGAATCACACCCGTCTCAAGTCTCAACTCACAAATCGCTAGAAACGGTTAATGGCACAAATGAATCAACCTCCTCTAAAGGAGTTGGCCACCATAGTTTTTGGAGTGGGAGGTTAATGGTTCAAATCTTGTTTTCCATCAAAAAGTTGTCACTTAATGTGGTTTCTTCAATGATAGTTTAGTTCCCGTCGATTCTCGATGACCCTATGGGGTCACATCCCTATATTCGAGTAGGACTAGGAGTAGAAATAGGTGTAAATGGTGACAATAAACCAAAAAAAAAGGTTAATGGCACAAATGGACCGAATTGATGTAATTTAGACCTTTTGTTTTTTGCTTGAGGATTTTACCTTATTAATCCATGCTGGACCAAAATAACATGGTTTGATCTATACGGAATCGGACAGGTATGGTTGAGTTAGATACAATTAGGTACAGTTGTTATATTTCATTCACAACTTTGTGTACATTTAAAGATGCGATTGTATTTATATATTGCATTAGTGTATAAGAATAAATTTTGTGAGAACAACAAAATTATATAAGAGAACCCATATTATGCAAAAAATACAGCAGTTGGACAATTGCATTAAAATTCTAAGCGCACTTACCCCTGATCCCTATGTATATCATGAACAACTAACTATGGTTACAAAACCCTCGTCCATTTCAATTCTCATTTGTGGTCTTTCTGTTATTATTTCAGTTCCTCAAAAACTTGAACTCTTTTTTTTCTTCTTCTTTTTTTTAAGTGCAAGTGGAGGTCTCAAATTTGAGATCTCTTACTTGCACTCTCTTCGGTATCACCTAATTCATTCTTCCCTGAACTCTCATTTTCAATCATTATGTTATTTCAATCCCTCAAAAATTTTGTATGATCTTTTAAGATAGAAAGATGAGTTATTGCATGATCTTTGAAGATAGAAATATGAGTCAGTATCTTTTAAGAACCAAAATTTTTTATAGATTTGAGATCTCTTACTTGCACTCTCTTCTGTATCACCTAATCCATTCTTCCCCTGAACTCTGATTTTCAATCATTATGTTATTTCAATCCCTCAAAAATTTTGTATGATCTTTTAAGATAGAAAGATGAGTTATTGCATGATCTTTGAAGATAGAAATACGAGTCAGTATCTTTTAAGAACCAAAAATTTTTATAGATTTGAGTGACTGAATTAATACTGTTTACTTATATATGTAAAGGATTATTATAGCAATTCTCCAAAAAAAAAAGAGGTTATAATCTAGTCAAATTAGTCTTACTGAGTCCCTGTTTATTTACAAATCGATGGAGAAATAATCATGCATGCTTTTGGTTGCTTTTGGCCGAGTAAAAGTACGGACTCCACATATAAAAGTAAAATCTTGTGAAGAAGGCAAATATTAATATTGTGATTTACAATGCAGGACCATTTTTAGCGATTCCTTTGTAACTATTTTTATCATGTATTGGTATATTTTCCCTCCCCTTCAAAAATGAAGCAAAATGATGGCCTTTCTTTTTCCAGGGAAGCCATAAATAAATGTCCATCTAGTGCCATTTATTCACCCGAAAACATGGCTTTTAAATTGCCAATAAAGTTTCTTCCTTTTTCTTTTTTTTTTGACGTTGTTTTTGGTAAATTTGAATTTAGTTTTTTTTGAACAAACGAATTTAGTTATAAGTGGCAACTTAGTTAAATCCGAATTTAGGTCACCTCTCCTCCCAAACATGAACCCACTCTTCTTCAACATCCAAATTAGATTTTTATACCTCTGCTAACCTTTGGCTCCATCTTACACCAACTGGACCGCCTGCCAAACCTGTGAGAACCCAAAAATTTTCTTATTTTATCGAATATTACTAGTTTACTTGAATATTTATTTACTCATTTTTCTCGAATTATTCATTTCGATCATTTAAAATCCATTGATATGGAACAACGCCTCTTTTACGTTTTTAAAGCGTTTTATTGGAAAATTCACTTTTCAAAAATTCGTTTAATTCGGAACAACGAGTACACGTTTTTCGACGTTTTTCGAGACTATATTTGAATCGAGAGTATATTAATTTCGGAGAAGTAAGAATGATCAATAGTAGATTAAGAAAAGTTAATTTGAGATTTGAGGAGTTAAAACTCGACTCATGTGAGGACTCGCAAAATTTATTATTTTAAATTCCATTTCGAGCTTATTTAAATATTTAATTGCCCATTTACTCTGAATATTATTTTCTAGTCTATTTAGACCTAATTACATGTGTCTATAGATTAATTATACTTTTAAAGTGACTTGTTTCAAAATTTAATTTTTGAAAGCTCGTAAAGTGAGAATAGTGAATACGCGATTGGAGTAAATAATTGAATTGAGAATACAAAAAACTTGAAAAATTGGAGACTTGTACATTAGTCTCAAAATAGGTATTTTTATGCTTAAGTGCTCAATTATTAGTTAGTAATACTACCGTTATAAGAATTTCTTAGAGATTTCGCTCTATCGTGTATAAATTGGAAGTATGCGTTTTTACGCCCGCGATTAATTGAGGGACTTTAGACCTTTATTTTTGGACTATTAAGAGTAAATAATAATTGTATGAATGAAAGTGCATTAGAGGTTTAGTGCACTAGTGCAATAAACTCAAAAGGAATCCAGCACGAAACGCACGTGTACGTGCATTATTTTAGTGGACAACTTTGAGCAAATTTGAGTCACAAGTTTTAAGCCTACCTTAGAAGCTAATAACATCAGAATTTCCTTCCTAACATACACTCAAACAGCCGAGCAACAAAGGAAGAACAAGACCAGAAAATTTCTCCACTCTTTCTCCTCAATTCCTTACTCATATTACTTCCAAATTTTACACACAACACTCAAATCACTTGGTGATCAAGATAAGTTAGGAAAGGAGCTACCTCTCACGGTTTTTCTCCAGCTCAAAGTGATCGAAATTTCTGTCTTGGCTCTCTAAGAAAGCTTACACGAGAACCTTCAAGAGAACCCCACAGTGAACGCCTAAAAGCTCCTAGTGACATTTCTTGCTTGTACATGTATCGGTGAGTGTCAAGTACATGACTAGTTCCTAAATACTTGAAAAGTATCTAATTCAATAATTGAATTTAATTTGTCGAGACGAGTGTGTGTACTTTATTCCACTCACTCTCTTTACTTGACGTGTTACTCTACTTACTTGACTTGTTACCCGATTTGCTTGACTAGTACTCGACTTACTCATGATTGAAACTATACTTGTACATGACTTGACGTCGATTGGAGCGTTGTCTCCTCGACCAATCCTACTCATTGGGACGTTCTAGTTCCCTCTCTTCTAATTACGTAATACTTGTTACATGAATACATATGATTAGTAATTGTATATGAATATGTTTAAGTTGTGAGGCTTGAGCGGAAGCATGTACCACACCAATTTGGGTGGGAGGTGCCTCTCATTCCGTCTCAGTGCTAAAATCGATTCTCTAAGCGATAGCATGTACCACACCAATTCGGGTGGGAGATACCTCTCATGTCGACTCAGAATCATAGACAAAGCCTAAGTCAATTGGAGCGATGTCTCATCGACCACTGAGCGATAGCATGTACCACACTAATTTGGGTGGGAGATACCTCTCATTCGACTCAAAACTATGAGCAAAGCATAAGTCGATTGGAGCGATGTCTCATCGACCACTGAGCGATAGTATGTACCACACCAATTCGGGTGAGAGGTACCTCTCATTCGACTCAGGACCATAAACGTATAATCGATCACTGAGCGATAGTATGTATCACACCGATTCGGGTGGGAGGTACCTCTCATTCGACTCAGAGCCATACATGGAATAAATAAAGTTCTACGGACTATTGGATGAAACTTTGGTAAAACAAATGGAAGTGAGTTTCTAAGAGCTCCCGTACCCTTCTGGAGTGTGTCTTGTGAATATTCGGGATTTACTTGAATGTTATTACTTTATCTCTCATGTCAGCTTTATTGTTACTTGAATTACCTGCTTGCTTGTTTTTTTTTTCTTTTCTTGGCCTCACGAGCATCCGCTCACCCCGTTAGACTTGCTTTCTTTAACAGGAGATGAAATGGAAGAAATTACGGAGAGGTCAACTTGATGGCCTTTGATTAGAAGTTTGAATGTATTCATTTAGATAATTTTTGGAAGCTATATATTTTGGAATGGTACAATATTTTGGTAACTTATGATGTAAGACTGGAACAATTATTAAGGAATTGACCTTCCTTTGTATCTTTGGTTTTTAGTATGGATTGGTTGTTCATAAGTTTGAATTGAAATTGTACCGAATCTTGGCGAGAGTTGGGCAGGCGTCCCACGGACACTCTCGGGTTCGCCCTTGGGAGAAGTAGGGGTATCACAAAACTCATAGCGCACCTGGTCCAACACTAGCCAAACTTCTTAGCATCTT